AAAAAAAAAAAAAAAAAAAAAAGAATATTTAGTCTAGTGTTACCCCTAACTCACAAAAATCAGAGACCACTTAAATATTCCTATAGTAGAAGGATAGATAAATTAAATTCTGGTATATTCATAGAATAAAATACTTTATTGCCATTAAAATGATGTTTTAAAATAATAATGGTATAGGAAAACATGCATAATGTTAAAGCAGTTTGCCCACAGCCTGATTTCTGTGCATCTGGGCTAATTAACGTCCATAAGTAGTAATGAGAGCTGGAGTGCATTACCAGCCTTTTGCTTCCTCTGCCCAATCTCATTCTGTGTGATTTCTCCAGGGGGAGCCTGCCCACTTTGAGTATCTGATGTACCCGTTGCACTCAGCATCCATCACTGGTCTAGCTACCTGCATCCGCAAACCCCTCATTGCCACCTGCTCTGTGGATCGGTCTGTTCGCATCTGGAATTACGAATCAAAGTAAGGAGTGAAAGGCTTTGCTACTGTGATATGCACGATTTCAGTTGTTAAATTTTCCATGCGAATTATTTTAATTAGAGGTTTGAAATTTTAATTACTTAGAAGCTTTCAGTTGGAAAAGTTTTTTTTTTAATCAAGTCAGTCAAACTACCTTGTTCTCTTTACTTTTCACTCTTGCATGAGCTAGAAAATCACTTTATACTTTATTCAGTGCTTGCTACGTGCCAGACACCATGCTTGGCATGTGGGACATAAAGAAACATCCCAATATCTCCCGTCCTTACATACCCTCCTGTGTCCTTCTAGCTTTCCTATCCCCTTTTCCTATCCCACTAGACCTGCTTTTTGCCCCACGGAGCTCTCCAGACCATTGATTCGCCCTTTGAAACCAGATCACTGCCCCAACCACCTTCAGCTCCCAGTGATTTTATCCTCCTGGCACAGCTTCCTTGAGAATCTCCAGCCTAGATTGGCCCCATGACGTAACTTCTTTGCTCTTGTATATAGCTGCTGGGGCTGCTGGAAAAAAAATTGTGCAATACTTCTGATTTAGAAATCTAAATGGAGCTGTGCCTTCAACATGTCTAGACAATGCCATATTCAGTCCCTTTACTTGCCATACGCATTGCTGGACACTACCCTCAAGTAACCAAAATCTAGAAAAAGAGGCACCAATAATTGCAAGTAATAAAGTATCTCAAATGCTAGGATAAAAATATGTACCAGATACAATGGAGGACTTGAGGGACTCAGTGGGCTAGACTTATATTCAATAATTTATCTTTTTCACAGCACCCAGGAGCTATTTAAGGAATACCAAGAAGAAGCTTATGCAATCAGCCTTCACCCGTCTGGACACTACGTTGTAGTAGGGTTTGCTGACAAACTACGCCTTATGAATCTACTCATTGATGATATACGTTCTTTCAAAGAATACTCTGTCAGAGGGTGCAAAGAGGTAAGAACTACTGGAGATAAAGGTCCAGTTTCTTAGAAAGCCAGAGTTGAAATATCAGAACTAGCACAACTGGGGAGGTAGGACCAAAGACTGTCTTAGAGAATTCTGGTGGCTTAAAAAGAAATCCATTTCTCCCACCAAACTTATTGAGTATGTTGGTTCTATCCTCTTTCTTTTATGCCCACCAAAATATATCACTGAACCAAACCATGTGAGATCTCACCTGTGATCAGTCCACTCTGTGACTGTGGAGTAATATATGTTTTAAAAGCATTAAAAAGAAAGTTATCACAGAATCGGAGTCACAGCTGGGAAGGCGAGTTTGGCGATTGGGAGGCGCCAGGGAAAATGAGCAACAGGGAGAGACAATAGCCCATCAGATTTCCCCCTGAGATGACTTGTGGAATCAAGACAGTGATTTGAGGAATTGCTCCCCTGTTCTGAAACTTCTTCTGCAGACAAAATGAGTGTTCTATTCTCTGACCCAAGCACCTTCATGATTCGTGCACATGGTAGGGTCAGCATCTTGGCCAATATGAGCTACAGGAATAGTGAAAGTGAAGATGTCAGCACTTCTCAGTCCTATTTGCACCTTCCCCTGATTCCCAATCCTACGTATGGTTTCACCCTGAACTCAACTGTAACCTTCAGATAGACTACTGTCTTTCATTCTTACTCTCTTCCTGTATTTCCTGGTAGTGTTGCTTTAGCAATGGAGGTCACCTGTTTGCTGCAGTCAATGGGAATGTGATTCACATTTTTTCCGCCACCAGCCTGGAGAACATCTCGAATCTGAAAGGACACACAGGGAAGGTAAGTGAGTGGACGGTGTCCAAGGAAACAAGGACTCAGAGCCAAGCATCATGCTAGCCAATGGGGTATAAGTGAACAAAAGAGAAGTGATTCCTTTCCCTCGAAGGTCCCTGTCTAGTTGGGGGAAATGACAATAAAACAAATGCACAGACAGATTTAAGTACTAACTGTAGTAAACTCAGTGAAAGAAAAATATGGGTTGTTATGAGAGGAAGTGGTGAGGAGTGGGCATCATGAGGGAAATTGGGATGTTCACGAAGGCTTGGTCCTAAGGAGTGGCTCGGAATTAATCAGACAGAGCTGGTGGGGAAAATCATTGCAGATAGAGATCCAAAGACCCTGGGTTTCCCTGGTGGCACAGTGTTAAGAATCCGCCTGCCAATGCAGGGGACACAGGTTCAAGCCCTGGTCCAGGAAGATCCCAAATGCCGCAGTGCAACTAAGCCCATGTGCCACAGCTACTGAGCCTGTGCTCTAGAGGCCGTGAGCCACAACTACTGAGCCCACGTGCCACAACTACTGAAACCCGCACACCACAACTACTGAGCCTGTGTGCCTAGAGCCCATGCTCCGCAACAAGAGAAGCCACCACAATGAGAAGCCCACACACCGCAACCAAGAGTAGCCTCCTCTCACTGCAGCCAGAGAAAAGCCAATGTTCAGCAACAAAGACTCAAAGCAGCCAAAAATAAATAAATAAACAAAGACCCTGAGATGGGAGATTTCTAAGGGTATAGGAGGAACCATCTGTGAGACTGAAGGTATCAGGAATGAAACTGAGATTGGTGAGGTTAGCAGCGACCCAAGTTCATGGAACCTTGTTCATGGAACCTTGTAGGCCTTTTAAGGATTTTATACTTTATCCTTCCTGTTCCATGAAATCATTGAAGAGTTTTAGGACAAGAAATGATATGACCATATTTGCATTTTAAAACATTACTTTGGCTGCAGAATGAAGATTGTATTGAAAAGGACGAGAGTGGAAATGGTAAGGAGATTGTTATCTACATGATAAATGATTAGTATTTTAGACCAGGATGGAGGTGGTACCAATAGGAAGAAGTGGATGGATTCAAAAGATATTTAGGAAGGAAAACCAGTAGTTCCTAAAGATAAAGTAGATATGGAGCATGCAGAAAAGGGAGAGACTAAAGATTGAAAGGGTAAGAAGTCAGCAGATGAATTTGGAGAGAACAAGCAATGGGAAAAGAAAAGCATTCTAAGCAGCAGGATGTGTTGTAGATGCAGGAATGGGAGTGTAGAATAGGATGGTGGTTTGTGGTTTATAGGACACATTTAAGGAGTGATAGAAGGAGGAGCTGGAGAAGTCTGCTGCACCATAGAGTGTGTACGCCATGCCAAGGAATTGAACATTAGTCTGTAGATGATGGGAAACAATTGGAAGGATTTAAGAAAGGAAGTAATGGTATCAGAAAGATAATTCTCCAAACAGTACTGAGAATGGATTAGAGGGGAGGGAAGTTGGAGTGAAGGAGATCAGCTAGGAAATGAGGGTGAAAAAGGAGCTAGGAACTAAACCATGGCTTTAGTAGTAGGGACAGAGAGAAAAAAGATATTAAGCTCCATTTTGGACACGTTATGCTTGATGTGTCCAGGAGTGTGATATATGAGTGCAGAGGTCAGAAAGAAGTCAAGGCTAAAAATTCCAATTCAGGGGATTAGGTGGTAGTCAGTAGAAGTCAGAGGCATAGATTAGATCACCAAGGGCTCATGTGGAATCTGAGATCTTGGGCAGGAGATGAGTGACCAAGGGACTGGTAAAGAAGACAGAGACTGCAAATGAAGTACAAAGAGAACCTGGAATCGAGGAATTGTATCAAAGAAGCCAGGGAACTGGTTTCCAAAAGGATAAAGTAGTCAGCGGTATTAAATGTCAGAGAGTGGGCTGTGAATACTAAAAAGTGACCACTGAGTTTAGCAATTAACAGGTCACAAGCAAAAGTGCTGTTAAGCACAAGCAGTACTGAGAGTTGCTGCGTTTCCTCAGCTCCAACAGTGTGACTGTGGAGATGCGGAGGAAAGCACACCAGGTGAATGTGATGCTCTTTCCAGGACCATGCACACCCCCATAGGAGGCCCTACCTCACCAACCCAGGAGAGCAGCCATGTTTCCTCACTTTACAAGAATTTATAACACTTGTCTCCAGCCCGGGATATATGTTAGGCTTACATGTGTAATACTGCAAGAAAAAACAAAAACAAAAGAAAATATAGATGGAGCGTGCAGCTAAAGCCATGCATACAGGGAAATTTATGACATTAAATACATGTATTGGAAAAGTGAAAAAGATGAAAATCAGTAATATAACCATCCAGTTCAATAAATTAGAAATAGAACAGCAAATTAATTCAAAGAAAACAAAAGAAAGGACATCATCAGGATAAGAGCAGGAGTTAATGAAACAGAGAACGTTCACACAATAGAAGATCATCAAAGCCAAAACTTGATTTTTTTTTTAATTTTTATCTTTTTAGCATCTTTATTGGAGTATAATTGCTTTACAATGGTGTGTTAGTTTCTGCTGTATAACAAAGTGAATCACCTATACATATACATACATCCCCATATCCCCTCCCTTTTGCGTCTCCCCTCCCACCCTCCCTATTCCACCCCTCTAGGTGGTCAGAGAGCACTGAGCTGATCTCCCTGTGCTATACGGCTGCTTCCCACTAGCTATCTATTTTACATTTGGTAGTATATATATGTCCATGCCACTCTCACTTCTTCCCAGCTTACCCTTCCCCCTCCCCATGTCCTCAAGTCCATTCTCTATGTCTGAGTTTTTATGCCTGTCCTGCCCCTACGTTCTTCAGAACCTTTTTTTTTTTTTTAGATTCCATATATATGTGTTAGCATACAGTATTTGTTTTTCTCTTTCTGACTTACTTCACTCTGTATGACAGACTCTAGGTCCATCTACCTCACTACAACTAACTCAATTTTGTTTCTTTTTATGGCTGAGTAATATTCCATTGTATATATGTGCCACATCTTCTTTATCCATTCATCTGTCATTGGACACTTAGGTTGCTTCCATGTCCTGACTATTGTAAATAGACCTGCAATGAACATTGTGGTACATGACAAAACTTGATTTTTTGAAAACTCAAAATGAACAAACCTTTAGCATAGCTGATTAAGGGGAAAAGAAGATAGAGAGAAGATATAAGTAACCAATGTGAGGAATGAAAAGGGGATATCAGTACAGGTCCTATAGACATTAAAAAAGATCATAAGAAGATATTATGAACAACTTTATGCAAGTAAATGTGAATACATAGACGAACTGACAAATTCCTAGAAAAATTGAATCTGTAATTTAAATTTAAATTAAAAATTAAATCTGTAATTTCTTCTGACAAAGAAAACTATCACTGGAGAAGTATATCAAGTTTTAAGGAAAACATGACACTAATCTTGAAAAAACTCTTCTAGAGAATTAAAAAAAAAAAAAAGCAAATACTTCCAACATTGTTCTAGGAGGTCAGCATAATTGTGAGACCTGTCAAAGACATCACAAGAAAGGAAAACGATAAGCCAGTCTTTTGTATGAACATGAAAAGTCCTACATAAATTATTATCAAACCAATCAAGCAATATATTAAAAGGATAATACAGCATGACCATGTTGATTTATTCCAGGAATGCAAAGTTATTTTAGATTTTGAAATCAATTAGTGAATACCACATTAACATAGTAAGGATAAAAAAGCATATGCTTATCTCTATAAATCCAGATATAATAAAAATCTATACCATTAACATGCATTCATGATTTTAAAAAAGGAACTAAAAATAATGGGGAACTTATTATATTATAAAAAAAATTTAGGTACTTTTAAAAAATATTTTATTTGGCTGCACTGGGTCTTTAGCTGTGGCACGCGGATCTTCGTTGCAGCATGCGGGCTCTTTGTTGTGGCGTGCAGGCTTCTCTCTAGTTGTGGCGTGTGGGCTCCAGAGTTCACGGGCTCAGTAGCAGTGCACGGGCTCACTAGTTGTGGCATGCGGGCTCTAGAGAGCGCAGGCTTTTTGCCCTGAGGCATGTGGGATATTAGTTCCCTGACCAGGGCTCAAGCCATGTCCCCTGCATTGAAAGGCAGATTCTCAACCACTGGACCACCAAGGAAGTCCCTAAAAATCTTATATAAGACATTTACAGGGACTTCCCTTGTGGCGCAGTGGATAATACTCTGCGCTCCCAATGCAGGGGGCCTGGGTTTGATCCCTGGTCAGGGAACTAGATCCCACATGCATGCCACAACTAAGAGTTCACATGCCACAACTAAGGAGGCTGCAGGCCACAACTAAGTAGCCAGCAAGCCACAACTAAGGAGCCTGCCTGCTGCAACCAAAGAGCCCACGTGCTGCAACTAAGGAGCCCACCTGCCACAACTAAGACCCAGTGCAACCAAATAAATAAATAAATAGTAAAAAAAAAAAAAGTGCAGCCTGGAGAAAAATAAAGACACAGAAAACCTACAACAAACAGCACACTTGATTATGAAATTATGAAAGCATTCCCTTTGAGATAGAGGACAAAACCTGATGCCTTCTGTTAGCCTTCTACTGAGTCCTATCCAGTGCAATAAGGCAAGGAACTGAACTATGCATTAGTCCACGGGGCTGCCATAACAAAATAGCATAGACTAGATAGCTTATAAACAACAGAAAATTTTCCTCACAATTTGGAGTGTGGGAAGTCCAAGATCAAGGTGCCAGCATGGTCAGGAGAGGACCCTCTTTCCTGGCTGCAGACTTCTTGTATCCTCACATGGTGGAAGGGGCGAGCTAGCTCTCTGGAGCCTCTTTTATAAGGGCTCATGAGGGAAGCACTGAGGACCTAATCACCCCGCCAAGGCCCCAGCTCCTAATACCATCATCTTTGAGGGTCAGGATTTCAAAATATGAATTTTGGGGTGAGGAGGTAGCGAGAGACACAGACATTCAGGCCATAGCAAAATAAAAGGCATGAAGGTTGGACAGGATGAAATAAAACTATCACCACAGACATAATCGGGTATGTTGAAAATTCAGAGAATTTGCAGATAAACTATTAAAATTAGTGAATCTAAGAATATTGTTAGAAATAACTATATTTAAGTGCATTTTTACATGATAGTAGAAAACAATTAGAAAATGCAATTTAAGAGGTAGAGCTAGGACTGAGACATGGTAGAGCTAGGACTGAGATGTGGCTGACAGGACTGTAGTCATGGGAACACCCAAAGAGGTAACCAGTGGGTCAGCAGGTTTGTTACTTATAAGGAGATTGAGAAAATCCATTAACGCATTGGAGTTCATGGGAGCCAGTCTCTCTCTATTGGAGAACGGAGTTACAAATACGAAAAGGGGAAAAGGCTAGAAAGTTTTTATTTGGTTGTTTTGTTTAGCAACTTGGCTGAACTAATTCTGAGAAATCTTTTTTTTCTCCTATAGTGGGCAGCCTCGGATGTCTCTGCTCGGATGTTTTTCTACTTTGATCTTTTAGCCTGGCTACCTAGGGCTTGCCCCTGGGTTGACCTAAGATAGTGCTTAAGGCCCCTTAGCCAGTTAGATTTTCACCCTTTACTGTTGGATTTGTGTTTGGCTTAGAGGCTGCTGTCACAGTTCATTGAGTTTATGCTTTTGCTCCATGTTTAGCCAGAGACTAGCAGTTTGGAGATTCCCTCTCTGATTGTACCTGAGAGGGTGCAGCCTTAGCCATGCACACAGCCTTCCAGGCTGCCAGACATAAGCGTGGTTTGATTTCTAAGCCTGACTTCCTGGGAAATGCCCCTGGGTCAGGAGCTTAGTATTCAGTTAGTGTTTGGTCAGATGTGTTTAAACCCCTTGTGCCTGTGATGCTTCCGCCCTGTGATAATGAGTCATTGTGCAGCTTAGGAGATACTTTCAAGTGTTCCCCATATCCTGCTCTGATTGCTCTTGAGTGGGTGCAGCCTTGCACGTACATACAGCCTTCCCGATCCCCAGAGTTGTCTATGATCCCAGAAGGGCTCTCCTGACTGTCTCTTTCCCTTGTCCTCTCTATTACAGTTCTGTTGTTCTGCCATCTTGCTTATATCAAGGAGTTACCAGCCTTCTCTTAATCGCCCTCCACCTAGATTTCCATTGATTTAGATGATGCCCGTGGATGGAATTCTCCATGCTCTGTTCCAAATAAGTCAGTCTCCTCAGGCAGAGCTGTAGGGCTCTTTGTCTTATGGCTGACTTCCCTCTGGGAAGAACCCCTGCTCCACTGCACCAGAGCCAGGGGTAGGGACCTTCTTTTCCAAGAGTGACATCCCTACTCCGTGAGTGGCACTTGCAGGTGGAAAGGGGGTGGAATCCCTCATCTTTTCAGCTCCCCCCTCATGGTGCGGAACCCTCACCCTATGAGTTAGCTGGGGCAGGGCAGTCGGGGCACCGGTACTCTCGTGCTTCTGCACTTGGAGTAGGGCTTCCACCAACAGGTGGGAATTGGCTGGGGGAAGGAAGATGAGGTCTTCTTGGCCACGCCTGCCTGGAATAGAGCTACTAGGTGGGGATAAGAAACACCAGCAGGTTTCCCAGGGTGAAACCATAGCCAAAGACTGAGATCCAGGGGGAAAGGGAGCCACACCTGCCCAGAGTACACAGGAATAAAGTGTTTGAAGCTGAAGAGGGTAAAGGAGCCGATTATGGCTCATATGCCACAGTCTCTGTTCCTACTGAGATTGAGGAGATTTTCCTGAACGAATGTTTCTACATTTGCTGCATGCCCTTAGGACAATTTCCAAAGACTTTAAATAACTGTTTTTATCGTTTTTAACAGTTACCTTATTGTGTAGGGGGTAGGTCAGCTGAGGTACTTACTCTGCCATCTGGAAGAACCCTCTCTCTGTGCGATTTGTGCAACTCCCTGTGAATCGATAATTATTTCAAAATAAAAAGGTTTTGTAAAACATAGCAATGATTGATTGTAGCGTTAGAGGAGCTATTATGATTCCGTCTTTACACTCATAAAGTGAAATGGAAATGGGAATGTTTCATCTTCAGTATTTTGCAAGCATATGAGAAAATAGAATGTTAACTTTCCCACAAAGCTATGATTAGTGTTTACTGAAGGGCATGTACCAGGAAAGGACATTCTGCCTCAGTCTAGTGGAACACGTAAGAAGTTATCCTCCTTCAGACATACTACAAAGCTATAGTAATCAAGACAGTACTGGTACTGGCACAAAAACAGAAAGATAGATCAGTGGAACAGGATAGAAAGCCCAGAGATAAACCCACACACATATGGTCACCTTATCTTTGATAAAGGAGGCAGGAATATACAGTGGAGAAAGGACAGCCTCTTCAATAAGTGGTGCTGGGAAAACTGGACAGGTACATGTAAAAGAATGAGATTAGAACACTCCCTAACACCATACACAAAAATAAGCTCAAAATGGATTAAAGACCTAAATGTAAGGCCAGAAACTATCAAACTCTTAGAGGTAAACATAGGCAGAACACTCTATGACATAAATCACAGCAAGATCCTTTTTGACCCACCTCCTAGGGAAATGGAAATAAAAACAAAAATAAACAAATGGGACCTAATGAAACTTCAAAGCTTTTGCACAGCAAAGGAAACCATAAACAAGACCAAAAGACAACCCTCAGAATGGGAGAAAATATTTACAGATGAAGCAACTGACAAAGGATTAATCTCCAAAATTTATAAGCAGCTCATGCAGCTCAATAACAAAGCAAACAACCCAATCCAAAAATGGGCAGAAGACCTAAGCAGACATTTCTCCAAAGAAGATATACAGATTGCCAACAAACACATGAAAGGATGCTCAACATCATTAATCATTAGAGAAATGCAAATCAAAACTACAATGAGATATTATCTCACACCAGTCAGAATGGTCATCATCAAAAAATCTAGAAACAGTAAATGCTGGAGAGGGTATGGAGAAAAGGGAACACTCTTGCACTGCTGGTGGGAATGTGAATTGATACAGCCACTGTGGAGAACAGTACGGAGGTTCCTTAAAAAACTACAAATAGAACTACCATATGACCCAGCAATCCCACTACTGGGCATATACCCTGAGAAAACCATAATTCTAAAAGAGTCATGTACCAAAATGTTCATTGTAGCTCTATTTACAATAGCCCGGAGATGGAAACAACCTAAGTGTTCATCATCGGATGAATGGATAAAGAAGATGTGGCACATATATACAATGGAATATTACTCAGCCATAAAAAGAAATGAAATTGAGCTTTTTGTAATGAGGTGGATAGACCTAGAGTCTGTCATACAGAGTGAAGTAAGTCAGAAAGAGAAAGATAAATACCGTATGCTAACACATATATATGGAATTTAAGAAAAAAAAATGTCATGAAAAACCTAGGGGTAAGACAGGAATACAGACCTACTAGAGAATGGACTTGAGGATATGGGGAGAGGGAATGGTAAGCTGTGACAAAGCGAGAGAGTGACATGGACATATATACACTACCAAACGTAAGGTAGATAGCTAGTGGGAAGCAGCTGCATAGCACAGGGAGATCAGCTCGGTGCTTTGTGACCGCCTGGAGAGGTGGGATAGGGAGGGTGGGAGGGAGGGAGACGCAAGAGGGAAGAGATATGGGAACATATGTATATGTATAACTGATTCACTTTGTTATACAGCAGAAACTAACATACCATTGTAAAGCAATTATACTCCAATAAAGATGTTAAAAATAATAATTCAAAAAAATTTTTTAAAAAGTTATCCTCCTTTCCGTGAAAGGCGTGTGTGTGTGTGTGTACACTCCTAATTGGGTATGTCTTCATCCCCCATAGATTCGTTCAATTGCATGGAATACAGATGATAGCAAACTGATTTCTTGTGGCACAGATGGTGCTGTATATGAATGGAATCTGTCCACAGGAAAGAGAGAGACAGAATGTGTGCTCAAGTCCTGCAGTTACAACTGTGTTGCCATCTCCCCTGATGGCAAAATCATCTTTGCTGTTGGATCAGACCAGACTCTCAAGGAGATAGCAGATTCTTCAGTAAGTCTGCCCCTGTCCCTCCTCTGGGCTGCTGCCCTGATTTGCAGAAGACAGCCTCCTGTGTTTACAGCAGAAAGGGATGGAAAGGGCGCCTGTGAGAACAGCGTCCCTTCTTCATGGGATAACACCTGGCTCCTCATTCCTATAGGGTTAGCTCAGTAATTGTTACTCCTGGAATTTCCTGCCCAGCGTCCAACTGACTGGGTTAAATTGTGAGGCCCTTTTCCATTTCTACTTTGCTTGCTTTCTGTAACTTCTCTCCTACCCTCCAGGGATGGAGGTCAGCAGCATCTCTAAACTGTGCTCTAACCCTTGATCTGCACATGCTTTCGTGGGGTAAAAACAGAACTCTAGTTATTGCTATCACCTAAGCTTGCTACCATATTTGTTTGGAAATCCCCAAACTACTCTGAAATTTTAGAATTAGCACGTTGACTCCAAATAGTTGAGGGAGGAGAGAAGAGCTCAGCAAAGACACTTCCTGCAACTGTGGCTGTGTCCTTCTCCACAAGCCCAGCTGAGAGTAGGGTGTCTCTCCAGTGGGCCCCCAAGTAGCTCGGTCCTGACTCTGTGGTGGCTTCCACAGTGCCGCACCAGGACAAAGCTCCTTTAGGGCAGGGCCATGGTTCACACCTCTTGGTATCCCTACGAGCTAGCACAGTGCATGGCCCACAGCACACATTCAGTAAATATTTGGTGGCTAGATGGGTGGGTGGGTTGATGAGTGAATTAAAGAGCAAAGTAATGAATGAATTCCCTGATAGAATAGTTTTTTGTGTATATAATGGACATTAATAAATGTTTGCTAAATAAATTGATGATCCACATCCCATTCTTAGTTTGAGATACATGGTTAGAATAGCAGTCAAGAGCATAGTCCTGGGAGCCTGACTGCTACCTAAGAGGTGGTTGAGTTGAGGCAACTTCCCTAGTATCTCTGTGACTGTTTCACCGTCTTTAAAGGGTTTTTGTGAGGACTGGATGAGTTACAACCTGTAAAAGCCACAGAACACTGCTTGGCACATGCTTTATGAAGGTTTCCCTTTTTTAGTATGATTCCTAACTCCTTGAGCTGCTTACTCATCGGTCACGCAGCCAAGAAGTATTTAGTTTGTGCCCCTTATGTGCTGGACGGTATGCCAGATGCTTAAACAAATGGAAAAAACACATTTTAAAATCCAGAACTTGCCGTAATTTTGCTATTAGAAGCAAGGAGGAGAATGACGTGGGGACAGTGGGTACACGGCTAAGCCCCTCACCCTGAACAGAGCTGGCTGTGTTCCAGGTCCTTCGAGAGATGTCAGCATTTGGTGTAACCTACACAGCCATCGTCACCTCCCATTCCGGGCACATGTTGTTTGTGGGCACCTCGGTGGGAACCATTCGTGCAATGAAGTACCCGCTGCCTCTGCAGAAACAATTCAACGAGTACCAGGCCCATTGCGGTCCTATCACCAAGGTGAGGGCAACCGTCTCCCCTAGAGCCCAGTCCCAGATCCAGCTCTCAATAGATCCACCTGGTCCTGCCCTCCACATACCACCTTTATCCCTTCAATCTCCCAGCATCTTTTCTCTCCCTTTATTTATTCCTCCAGCCAAATGTTCAATAAACATTTATTGGCTCTTAATACTCTTTGTTTAAACTACTCCCACGAATTTGTTCTAGGAGGTAATCAGAGATGCACCTAAAGATTGAGGTACAAGATTGTTCATCATAACATTTCGCATAATTATGGGCCATTCGAGAGATGTTATAGGCCCCCTGACCACAGCCAGTGCCCTCATGTCCCAGCTGCCGAGTGTTGGCTACTAAAGGCTCACAGGTCTCCTCGCCCTCCACAGAGTCACTCTGGACTAAAAGGAGTCATGGCCCAGGAGATGAGCCCCCACCGGTCCCCGGGGGTCATAGCATGAGCACACATTTGTAAATTGTCCTTCCATTCCCCCTTGTAAAAAAGCAGTGTCTATGTACACATGGGCTCCTGAAGAACAGGCACTGGGAAAATATGTTTTCTCTCCCTCCTCGCCTCTCTTATCCCCAACTGAACAGTACCAACACCTGAGGTTTTGAATTATGTCCCAAACTCTACACCGGCTTGCCTGCAGACACCATCTTTACTAGGAAAGGCTTTTTCATTATAAACTGGAACATTCCTATACTGAGCATGAGTCTTGGGTCCAAAGTAAATTACTATCACATATTCCCCCCTTTCGCTTCAGAGCTACTAAGTTTTGTGGATAAGATGTTTACTTTTCTGATTATAAAAGCAATACATGTTTATTTTAGGAATAAAAATCCTCATAATAGCATTATCATTAATATAGTGATGCATCTTCTTCTACTTTTTTATGCATATGCTTTAAATAAATTAAGACCATACTGTACGTATGCTCTTGTAGACTGCTTTTTTTAAATTTATGCTCTTGTAAGCATTTTTTGTATGATTAAATATTCCTCAAAAGCATGATTTTAGTAGCTATTCAAATATCCTATCACAATGATGGAACGTAACTTATTTAACTCTTCTCTTACAACTGGGCATTTAAATTATCATGAACTTATGAATATCCTAGCCTATAGATTTCTCTGAGCATCTCTGATTATTCTCTAAGGCTAAATGCCTAGGCAGAGAGCGAATCCTGAGGGAAAGAGCATTGCCATCTTTAAGGTTCTTGACACATACTGGTGACTGTGAGAGGACAGTTTCCATAGCTGATTCTTTACTTTTCACTTTTTATTTTGAAGTAATTATAGATTTGTAGGAAATCTGTAAGATAGCATCAAGGTCCTGTGTGCCCTTCACCCAATTTCCCCCAATAGTTACATCTAATGTAACTACTGTACAGTGTCAGACCAGAAAACTGACACAGGTACATTATGTGTGGGGTTCTGTATCATTTTTTCACATAGATGCATAAATGTGTGTAACCACCACTGCACGCAAGACACAGAACTATTCCTGCACCACAGCAGCTTCCTCGTGCTACCCTTCATAGTCACCCAACACCATACCTAGTCCTCAGCAACCACTAATTTGCTTTCCATTTCTATAATTTTGACATCTTGAGAATTTTATATAAATAATCATACAGTATGTGACCATTTGAGAGGAGCTTTTTTTTTTTTTTTTTTTTTTAGCGGTACGCGGGCCTCTCACTGTTGTGGCCTCTCCCGTTGCGGAGCACAGGCTCCGGACGCGCAGGCTCAGCGGCCATGGCTCACGGGCCCTGCTGCTCCACGGCATGTGGGATCTTCCCGGACCGGGGCACGAATCCGTGTCCCCTGCATCGGCAGGCGGACTCTCAACCACTGTGCCACCAGGGAAGCCCCGAGAGGAGCTTTTTTCACTCAGCATAATACCCTGAGCTCCATGCAAGTTATTTCATGTATCAATACTTTATTCCATTTTTGCTGAGTAGAATTCCATGGTGAGGATGTACCGTGATTTGTTTAACCATCTACCTCTTGTGGGATATTTGATTTTTTTTCCCCCAGTTTTGGACTATTACAAATAAAACTGCTATGAACAATTATGTACTGGCTTTTATGTTGACATGTTTTCATTTCTCTGGGGTAAATGCCCAGGAATACTGTTGCTGGATCATATATTACAAGTGTGTTCATTTATTTTTTTAAGAAACTACCAAGCTGTTTTCCATTCCTACCAGCAATGCATGAGAGATCCAGTTTCTCTGCATCATTGCCAGCATTTGGTATTATCACTATTTTTTATTTTAGCTGTTCTAATAGGTGTATAGTGACATCTCATCATAGTCTTAATTCACATTTCCCTAATGGCTAGTAATGTTGAACATCTTTTCATGTGCTTATTTGCCATTTGTATAACTTCTCCAGTGAAATGTCTCTGTGTCTTTTGCCCACTTTCTAGTTGGATTATCGGGGTTTTTTACTGCTAAGTTTTGAGAGTTCTTATATAGTGTACATAATAATTGACTCTAAAGATTCAAAATCCACAGAGAACATATACATAGTCTTATTCTTTTATTCATTCCCAGAAGCCCGTGACGGTTCTTGTCTCATGCCTTTTCTAAGATAAAGTCTTCTTCCCCAGGAGGCTGTACCCAGGCTGGCATGGAGGGAGGGCTTGCACAACAGCTGGCTCAGTCCTGCTCTCCACGGCCTGTGAAAGCCTCCTGTCCATGCTCTGTCTCCTCAGATGTCGCTCACCTTTGATGACCAGTTCCTGCTGAGCGTCGCCGAGGATGGCTGCCTGTTCACCTGGAAGGTCTTTGATAAGGATGGTCCGGGAATCAGGCGACAGAGGGAGGTGGGCTTTGCTGAAGAGGTGCTGGTTACCAAGACGGACATGGAAGAGAAGGTAAGAATTGGATCTAGTGAAGAGGGACATGGAAATTCCATACCAGGCTGCATCCAAAGTCCTGGGACCGGCATAGAGCCCTTCTCTAGCCCGGCTTCCCCTGTGCCCAGCACAGACCCCCACAGCTCCCTGTACATGCTCGCCCACACCACCACCGCTGCATTCTGTGTCCTCCCCACCCCACCTGTCCTTCTGCCACGTGATCGTCTTGACTTACGCTGAGCTCTGCTTCTAGCCTGTGACCTATCTTTCCTCTCCTACTCTTTGAGGGCAGGAACCACGACATATAATTTGCTTGTATGACCAGCAGTTTCCAGCTCGTGCAAGGCGTAAATAAATATTTACATAAATATTTCCGATAAATATTTACAAAATTAAAGTGACAAACTTGTATATTCCAGTTGTATCTGTGAAACTTAATAACTGCTGGTATCTGGAAACTTCTTTAAAAAGAAAACAGAGATATTTATAAAACAGTCCTGAAACCCACTCCTCTCAATAATAAAACAATAACAGTAATAATAACCAACCACCAACTTTTTTTTAGGTCAGCCATGAAGCAGACACTGTGATAATTACTTTATAAGTATTTTCTCATTTAAATCTCCCAATATCTCTATGGAGAAGATACTGTTGTTTTCCCCACATTTCAAAAAATGGTTTTGGAGAGCTTGGGTGACGTGTCCAAAGTCACTGAGCTAATTAGGAGTAGGCCCAGAGTTCCAATCCAGACTTCATCTGGAGCGCACTCTCCTAATCGTGACCTCAGAGCACCTGCCCTCCTGTTGATGCAGCTAACAGTCCGTTAAGATGTGTCTTCAGCGCTCTGAGTGCTGCGCTCCCCGAGGGAGAAACCGACTGGGTGGTAACCTCACGGGGCTCACAGAGGGTGCACAGCTGCGAGCTCACTGCTGTTCATCCAGAGTTTAAAGTGCATTCATTGAGTACCTACTGTTTGCTGGTCACTGTGGATGCATGTGGGAGAAGACAGGATGGGCCCTGTGATCAGGAAACTCACAGTCAAGTGAGGGACAGAGGGGTTTCCCTGGTGGCGCAGTGGTTGAGGGTCCGCCTGCCGATGCAGGGGACACGGGTTCGTGCCCCGGTCCGGGAAGATCCCACATGCCGCGGAGCAGCTGGGCCCGTGAGCCATGGCCGCTGAGCCTGTGCGTCTGGAGCCTGTGCTCCGCAACGGGAGAGGCCACAACAGTGAGAGGCCCGCGTACCGCAAAAAAAAAAACTCCAAGTGAGGGACAGAGACAAGCGAAACCAGCAGGACCACAGTGGCCCCAGAGCAGGATGATAGGCCCCTGGCGATGGCTGGAGAGCCCTCCTAGAGCTCCCTGGAACTTTCTGCAGGAAAGGGAAGTAGGAGGAAAGGCTGAGGAAGAGGCTGTGAGAGTTAAGAGTCTGACCTCCTGCAGGCAAATGTGTCTCCTCCTCTTCCTTCTTCTCTATTTTCTCTCTTCTTCTCAGAGGGGAGGGGAAGACACCAAGTAGGAGACACCAGGCTGCACCAAAAGCCTGAGGTGTCTGGGCTGACTCCTGACCTCAGCCCCCAGCCCCCAGCTAGGCCTGACAGCACGGCTGCCAAGCTGGAAGTGACTAGTGTATGTTCTGCTCACTTCTTGAAATTCCCTTCTCTCTCGGGCTCCAAGAGACCACACCACATCATTGCCTGTGTGCCTCTCGGACTGTTCCTCCCCAGCTCCCTTCCTGGCTCTTCCTTCAATTGGCCTTGAAAGCCACATTGCCCAGAATTCCCAGCTCTCTCTTTTTCTTTACATTCTATGACATTCTATGTAACTATCGTGATTTACCCACTCATTCAGTCATTCATTTATTCATGCACCTAACTAGTATTTGCAGAAAGATGTGCTATGTACCAGACACTGCACTAGGTCTGGGATTACAGAAATGAAAGACATAGATGGTCCTGGAGCTTATATCATGGGAAGAAGTATAGGTAAAATTTTAAAAGGGAACCAAGTGTGTAACGAGTGTTATGAAGGAACTGTGCTGTGGGAACACAGGGAAGGGACCCTGACCCAGGCCAGCTGGTGCCAGGGGAAGTGAGCCTTGAATGGAGCCTCCAGAACAAGTTGCAAAGGGCCTTCCACCCCGAGGAATGAGTGTGTGCAAACGGACGAGGGGGGATGCTCTGGGGAGGATGCTCCTAGCTGGTGGGGCTGGAGAGTAGAGGGGGTGCCGGAGAGAAGCGTTGGAGGTGAAACAGAGAGATAGTGAGGGGCCTTTTACACCATGTTTTAGACTTTGGAAATGCTTCCTAAGGCCCCACTGATGATCTAAGTTAGGGGATGACTCAGTAGATTTGTGTCTGAAGGGACTGCTGTGTAGCAGCAATGTGGAGAAGGATGGAGAAGGGCAATGAGCAGGTGCCTCCAATGCAACCTGTCAGAACCAGGTCATTCCCACCAAAATGTGTCCCACTCGTCCGCGGCGGGCCCCCAGGGCCATGTATTCATCTGATACATATTTGTTTAGTGCCGGTCCTGTGCTGGGCTCCCAGGATAAAGCAGTGAAGCAAGACAGGCCAATGCAACCCTCAGGGAATTGTCTGGGCCAGGGAGACGGTCTCCATCCACAGTCCTCTCACTTCACCCCACGACCCATCAGGCACCACGTTCCCTAAAATCTCTTTCTCTGGAATCTTTCCCTTCTGCTCTGCTCCCCACCTCTGGTCAGGCCCTTACCGTCCCCCACTGAACTATGCAGACCCCCCAACCAGTGCATCCGCCCTCAGTCCTTCTCTACCCTAGCCTGCGTGCACACTCCTTGGCTTTGGGCACTTATCACAATTGGTAATGTTATGTCTCCTTGGCTGTCTCAGTAGACTGTAAGTTCCATGGGGTCGGGAATCATGATTCAACAAATATTTTTCGAGTGCCTACTCTGTGTCCGGCACCGTTCTAGGTACTTGGGGTACATCAGCATACAAAACCAACAGAGATCTCAGCCTTCTTGGAGATTAAATTCTAGTGGGGGATGAAAACAAAAGACCCTAAAATAATAAGTAACATTTAAAAGTGCCGAGATTTAAGGGAATAATAAAAAAGTAGAGCAGAGTAAGGGGGTGGGGGGAGTCAGAGGTGCCGGGAATGGGAAGGCGAAGGAAGCAGGATTAAGTCATGTGGTCTGTGTAGACCTCACTGAGGTGACATCTAAGCATAGCCGAAGGAGATGTGAGTTATTAGCATGCTGCCTGTTGCACAGTGGAGCTCACTGATGACACGTTTTGAGGGTAGAGGAAGAAGCTCCTATTTCTCCTAGTGTCTGGTCTGTGTGCCTTGTGCAGAAAGATGACACATGCGTTGGAGCCTGAGCAGAGCTGTAGGTCTCAGAGAGCTCAAGGCCACGGGTTTAAATAGTCTGATTCACCCGCACTGTGATTGTTGTTGATTCTGTGTCCTTCTCCCAAAGGTTCAGGTTATGTTGGAGCTGAAGACTCGTGTGGAAGAGTTAAGAATGGAGAATGAGTATCAACTTCGACTAAAGGATATGAACTATTCTGAGAAGGTTAAGGAACTAACAGACAAGTTCCTCCAGGAAATGGAGTCCTTGGAAATGAAAAACCAGGTCTGTTGAACCAACAACGGCGAATAACAAGAAATTTCCTGCTCACTCAAGACAACTGGCACACACTCAAACAATAAGACATATGATAATGTGCGATTTTAAAGCATAGTTGATAACATCAGAAATGCTTACAACAAAGTGCTAAGTGGGAAAAAAAGCAGAATATAGAACTCTTTATAGTGAATGCTATTAATGATGTAAAATAAATACACACAGAACAATTTTTAAGAGAATAGCTAGCAGTGTGATTATCTCTGGAAGCTGGGATTGTGGATAGTTTAAATTTGGTTCTTTATGCTTTTCTATACTTTCCAAATTCTCCACCATGAGAATATATTACCTTTGTGGTCAAGAGAAACTTATTTAAAAGCAAAATGAAAAGTAACAAGAAAAATAAAGTATGGAAAGAGAAGAGCTAGCAGGATATTGACCTCAGAATTGTCAGTAGGTTAAATAAAATTAGTCTAAATTGGCTTCCCTGGTGGCACAGTGGTTGAGAATCCGCCTGCCAATGCAGGGGACACGGGTTTGAGCCCTGGTCCGGGAAGATCCCACATGCCTCGGAGCAACTAAGCCTGTGCACCACAACTACTGAGCCTGCGCTCTAGAGCCCGCAGGCCACAGCTACGGAGCCAGCATGCCACAACTACTGAAGCCTGTGTGCCTAGAGCCCGTGCTCTGCAACAAAGAGAAGCCACCACAATGAGAAGCCCGTGCACCACAAAGAGTAACCCCCGCTCGTTGCAACTAGAGAAAGCCCATGCACAGCAACGAAGACCCAACGCAGACAAAAAATAAAATAATTAATTATTAATTTAAAAAATATATAGTCTAAATGGCCTTCCTGTAGTTAAAGATGGTCCAGGACTGTCCCAGAATGATTTCTCTGTTCCGTACAAATCTGCCTGGCCCTTCACCAGAACAGCCAGTTTTTTGCTTAAGTGATATTTGTTCTTTTATGTTATCTCCATGGGTCTAAAAACACCCTGGCAGTTAATTTTATTATTTCATTCATTTAATCAACAAACATTGGTGCCTTCTGTAATCTGAGCACAAAGTTAGATACCTCCCCTTCCTGCAAAGAGCTTTCCTGCTCCATTAAAGAAAACACTTTCTTAGAAGCTGATACATTAACATAGCCAAGGATTTCCTTGAGAGCAATGTGCTGACAACAGAGAATTCAAATCAATCCTTACCTTTTCCACCCAAAAATCCATTTGGTGCATGTCCAAAACTGAACTCATCATTGACAAGATTCATTTCGTAGAAGGATCTAAATAGCGATAGTATAGAATTTTCACAGCAGAATATAATGCAAATAAAAGTGATAGCTCGCATGTTGCTTGTAGAACAGTGCTTGGTGCAAAGTAAGGGCTTGGGAAATGTGTGTGAGTGAAGGAGGCTCTCACTTGTACAATTGGTGCTTCTCATGGTGGTGCTTTCAGCAGATGTGTAGAAATGAGAGCATTTTACTCTGTGTCTTAGGTTTTAAGAGCAGAAAAAGAAAAGCAGGATGCACTCCATCGTGAACGCATGGAAGACCTCCTGGAAAAACAGAGCCGGGAACTGCAGGACTTGGGTGAGGCCATCAGTGGTGGCCCCTGGGCAGAGGGCAGTTGACTGGGAGCAAAGTCTGAGAGTCCTCCAGATTCAGCAGAAGCCCCAGTCTATAAACAGCGTACATTTATCCCCTGGAACTCACCATGGTTTTTGCTCCTGTGTATTTACTCATTGATTAAACACAAATTAAACACCTACTGCATGCCAGTAGGAGATAGGAAAAGTGTGGGTTTGGAGCCTGATAGGCTGCCTTGGGTCCCTTATTCACCTGGACTTGCTGGGTGCTCTAGGGAATCACCTAAGCTCACCAAGCCTCAGTTTACTGTCCCATAAAATGGGGGTACTAGTACCCGTTTTGCACACTCAGGGCATTCTTCTTGGCCCTGAACCCACAAATACCCCTCTGCACTTTCCTGGAAACCTTTCCGCCTAGATGGTGAAGGGAGGAAATCGGGATGCCAGACAAGACGATGGCGTGGGGGGCCCGTGAGGAAGACAGGTGTGCATTTGTATCTCGCCTGTGGAGGCAGGAGCTCTAGCTGGTGCTGGAAGGGGGCCCAAGGCTGGAAAAGCACCCAAGGCTCCCCTGGGTGTCCCTGAGGCTGATGCTACTGTCCCTCCTGAAATAACCTTCCTTGCTTCTCTCCAGAATGTTGCAACAACCAAAAGTTGCTTCTAGAATATGAGAAGTACCAGGAGTTGCAGCTCAAGTCCCAGAGGATGCAGGAAGAGTATGAGAAACAGCTTCGGGATAACGATGAGACCAAGAGCCAGGCCCTGGAGGAGCTGACTGAGTTTTACGAGGCCAAACTGCAGGAGAAAATCACCCTCCTGGAAGAGGTACTCGCAGGAAGCGGAGCTGTGCCTCCCTGTCACGGTGCCATCCTGCAGGCCTGGCCTGGGAACAGCCCAGAGAGCTGTGGGAAGCCTCGCTTGACCTCCATTTCCTTCCCCACCTTCCTTTCCGAGTGTGTTTCGTTTGGTCTTGTTTTGTGCTGTTTATATGTTTGTTTCCCTGGCGGCCAAGGGACTCCCTGAGCTGGGAGGTGCTCAGCTTTTGAAACTAAAATTCCTTGGATAGACTAAGTTCATAACTATTGTTCTCTCCTAACTGTACCTTCGAGCCTTAAGCACTGGGGAGAGCTTTCTAGAAGAAGCCTCTAGAACTGGAGAGGAACAGGGACCTGAACCATGGGAAAGGTGGTTGCCTGAAACCCCTTCGTAACTTCTTATGTCTTGCAAGACATTGTAAGCCAGTGAAATCATTCCTGCGCTGACTCAACAAACACAGACTGTGTCTTATTGGTTTACCAGCCTGAGTGCTGGGTGGTGAAGCGAAGTGAAACATGGGGCCAGGTTCTCAGTGGGTGAGAAAGGCGGTCACACAGGCTGATATTCATCAGGGTGTAGACGGGACAGTGGGGAACGCAGACACAGCACCCACCCTGGCCTGCAAGGTCTGGAAAGGCTGGCAGGAGCTACCGAGATCCAGGAGGCTTGGAAGCTGGAATTAACCAGGAGACTGGGAAATGCAGGAGGTTAAGAACATACAGGCAGGGCAAAGTCATAGACTATTCAAGCAGTTGGGTTGCCAAAATGTCTCGTTTCCCAAGATGAAGGGAAAAATGAGAGAGGCCAGATGGTGTCCTTTTTGGCACGAAATTCTGGCAGACGTTGTTGCTGACAGTGAGAGGGCAGGAGAGTCACGAAAGTATGGAGTGATTTTTGAAGGGAATGAGGAAGGGAGTGACTAAGAAGGGGGCGGGCAGGTCTGTAGCTGAAGGCACAGCTGAGGTCTGAGAGGCGAATTCTGGCGGCGTTCACCCAGCAGGCAGTGCGCTATTCCACAGCAGGGCTCAGCAAATAGGTGTGTGAGAGAGGAAGGCCTGGAGCCGCCCTGAGCCAGAGCTGGGGCTTCTCTGGGTGGTGAAAATAAAGGTTGGCTGGTGACCTGCCACGGGGTCCAGGCCAGAGAGGGTCAGCAAGGCACCAAGAGTCAGTGGAGGAACCACGACCAGGCGAGGGGACGTGATGAGGTTGAGAGCTGGGATGGTGCACCTGGGACCCAACAGAGAAGTCACCTGTGCTCGGAGAGCAGGGCCTGTATTTTAAGACTTCAGAGGCGGCACCATTCCAGGGGTTGGACCTGAGAGTGGGTGCGGGAAGATAAGGGGCAAAGCACCAGGAGACGTTCTAGGATCCTCTGTAACCAGCCTGGTGATGGCAGGGAAGACGGTGAGTTGACATCCAGAAGTCTTCGGTGAACAGGGAGCGTGACCAGGCAGCGGGGGATATATAGGTGATGAGAAGTAGAGGGTGGAGGTCCCGCAGACCTGGCAGAGGCTGAGCTCTGATAGCAGAGGGGGAGCTAAGAGATTCCACCCGCACCTGAGCCCGGCCTGCTTCCAGTTCCACGGCGTGAGGAATGTCCCTTCGCTGCCCTGCCCACCTCCCCAGCCCCATTTCCAGCTGCCCCTGTCCAGTGATGTGGAGCCTCTGGGAGTTTCCTGCACAACCTCTGAGCCCCTGCTCAGGATGATGCTTCTTCATCTAGGCACTTGTTTGCCCCCTCAGGGACTCAGGACAAGAGCTAACTCCTTGACGATTCCTCCCTAACCCTTCCCTCCCACAGGGCTAAGCATCCCTCCTCTGCGTTCTCAGGACCCCCGGGCCCCTTTCGCCCATGTGGCTTACACAGCAACATCGTGGTTTGCTGGGCTCTGATTTTAGGGTGAATGGATCGATCCTCCCAGAGGGGAGAGAGGCCAGCCTTCCTCCCACAGTGATGACAAGGCTTTTCTTCTTTTGAGTCAGTAAGATTTCAACTCAGAACCTTCCTGGGGAGATTCCTCCCGAGTGCCATCTTACTACCGGCTGGGCTGCTTCTACTTTTTAGCAACATCTCCCAGACCAAGAGCAGGGGCTTGCGGGCCCCTCTAGGCTGCAGTCGGAGCCGCCCTGGCCAGGCTTCTGTCCAGCAAGGGTCTGGTGACGTGATGGGCAAAGAGAAGCCTTTCTCAGGAGGCCACTGAGCCCAGTTTTAAAACCACCTTGTCTCACTCAACCTCCAAAACACTCAGTCCAGGGATGGTACGTGCAGCCTGGGAGAATACCAGGGTCAGTGTGAGAAGAAAGACATTGACTCTACCGTGATCGAAATGTCCACCCCTGGGCAGCAGTGAGCAAGGAGGAGCCCTGCCCCAGTCACTCCCCAAACTCCACCAGGCAGAGCTCGTTTTCCCAGCATCTGGGCTCTAGGCTTTTCCTCATTCAGCACCGACATGTACCAGATATGTGCTGGGTGTTCACTGCAGTGGGTGGAGATGTGGCCCTGCCGTCAAGGAGCCTCTGTGTCAAACAGGCATTTACAATATAATGTAAAGTGATGGGGGACGTACAGTATTCACACGGGAAATGATAGCTGAACCGAGAGCCGGAGGAAGAATAGGAGAGAGCCACGGGAAGACGCTGGAGTCAGAGGGACAGCGGGTATCAAGGCTCAGCAGCTGAGGACCATGCACACTGCGGGAACTGAAGTTAGTTCACACTGGAGAGAGCCTGGGGTGGGAGTGATGGCTGAGGCCAGGGAGATGCACTGGAACTGCCTCCTGAGAGCCTGTGGACCCATTTCAAGAGTCTGGACTCTACCATGAGGACAAGGGTGAGCCAGAGAAGGCTTGCAAGTGGGGGTTGGCATGACCAGGTGTGTGGTTTAGAAAGCTCCCCTCGACTAGAGAATGAGATCCGACTGGAGGGAAGCATGACCAGAGGCAGGAGGCTGGCTAGGAGGCTGACAACAGTCCAGGCAAGAGATGACAGGGGCCTGGGCAGTGGCAGAGGCATAAAGTGGATGGATTCAAGAGGTGAAAAGGACGGGATTGGTTGGATTAAGGAGGGGGAGGGTGGAATTAAAGCTTCACTCATTCATTCAGATATTTATTGAGTACCTACTGTGTGTCAGTGTGCGTTGTACACTGGGAACTCCTGGTGGGCGTGATAGACTGGGTTTTTGCCCTCCAGGAGCTTCCATCTAATGGGAGAGACAATCAAGTAATTCCACAAATAAATATAAAGTTACAAGCGTCACAAGTTTAGTGAGGGAAAGATAGAAGGGGGCTGGTGTCAGTGTGAAGAAGACCAGAGGTGGAACAGGGTTGGGGGATGTTGGTGGGACAGTGGTTGAAGTGATAGAGCCCAAGGCCTGATCTGGTAGGGAAAGGGGGACAAACAGAAGGACAGAAAGAAAGTGGAAGGGTCCAGGGACCCATGGCCTTGGTTTCCACTACCGTACTAACACTCGGTCTCCCATCCCCATGATAGGCCTTGTATGTTCACCTCGTCCCAGGCCCTCTGAGCACAAGGGTGCCGCGTGTCCCCTCTTCCCTGGGCACACACTCTCCCTCTCTCCGAGCCAGGCACAGGAAGATGTCAGGCAGCAGCTGCGCGAGTTTGAAGAGACCAAGAAGCAGATTGAAGAAGATGAAGACCGTGAGATCCAAGATATCAAAACCAAGTATGAGAAGAAGCTTCGGGATGAAAAGGAATCAAACCTGCGGCTCAAAGGAGAAACGGGCATCATGAGGAAGAAGGTACCAGGCTGTTCCCGAGAGGCCTGGGGGCAGACCAGGGCCTCACTACAGAGAAAGCATGGGGTGGGTAGACGGACACGGAGCTGGCTGATGGCGGCTCTGCCCCGGGATGACCTGGCAAGATCCCATGTGAATGTCCTCATCTCCAGCAAGCGGGTTAGGAAAACAGCACTGGCTGGTGTGAGGGTTCCCCCTGCCCAGACAGGCAGACAGATCCTTACCACATCGTCTGACGGGGTAACCATCGGGGCTCCCCCTCCTCTTTCCTGTTTGCAGGGACGGTGAGGTTCACCATGACACTGGTGGACGCCCTGGGCTTTCATTTATTGGCAAGTGGGATTTAGAGTTTTCAGAGCTAAATATTTAAAGTGGACATGCGGTCTTTGGAGGTGAGATAGATAAAGTTTTCACCTGGAGGTGTCCTCAGGCTCTCAGTGCAGGGGTTCAGGGGTGCTCCTGTTCAGACTCTGTGGGCGGGAGAAAGATTGGGAGTATAGGATGCTTAGGTTATAAGGCAGGGGAGATGTTTGTAGTCACTGATGGCTGAGTGAGGAGGCATTCAATTCATAGATCCTTATAGAATTGCCAGTTGCCCCAAAACGTTTAGCCTGAGAGAAGCCAAGTTCAAAGCAAGCTCATGTTCTTTCCTATTAGAAATCACACTACTAGTCAATCCAGGGGACAATCACATCTTCCCTTCTTGGACATGACTAAGATGGCTCATCAGTTAGGGCCCAACCTCTGCAACCTCGTTGGGGCATGGATCCCAGCCTTTCAGGGTCAGTGTGGTCATGGAAGACTCTGGATCTGCTGGGGGAACTGGTCTCTCTGGAGCCTCTTAAGGCAGACAGCCCTTCTTCACATAAGGGGATGGGACTGGATCTTGTCGGACAGAATTGTCCCCTGGGAAATTCCTGACTGTCCCAAATTCTGCTGGGGAGCTCTTAAAGTCTACAGGCAGTCAGGAGGAATGGAGATGAGTTCACAGGCTCTGGTGGTCTCTGTCATTGCTGTTTGTTCCTCTAGTTCAGCAACCTGCAGAAAGAGATTGAAGAGCGAACCAACGACACTGAGATTCTGAAGGGAGAGCAGGTGAAGCTGCAAGGAGTCATCAAGTCCCTGGAGAAGGACATCCTGGGTCTCAAGCAGGAGATCCAGGAAAGAGACGAGACGATTCAGGATAAGGTAAAGGTACATCCTGTGTCCCGCCTCAACTCCCGCCTAGACGGACCCAGGCAATGAGGACACAGCTCAAGAGACAGGGTCCCTGCCTTCCTGGAACCCATTTATTGAACTTGATGGGGGTGGGGTGAAGTACCTACTGTGTGCTTGGCACTGGGCTAACCGCTGTAAACACATACCATTCAATTCCCCCAACAACCCCAGGGACCATGAGCCACCCAGTTGTATAGCTCAGGAAACTGGTTCCGAGGGGTAAGTATCTTGCCCAGGCTCGTACAATTCATAGGTGACGGACTTGGGGTAACAACCTGAGTGCCGACTGCCAGGCCCCTGCTCGCCACTGCGCCAGGCATCCCAGGGTGACCATCCCATGGACTCACTCACCCCATCGCCCATGTGATCCCCCTGGTCAGAGAGGAACTCCCGCGTGGTTGGCCCTGTAACCACTGGATACCCCAGAAAGTGGTATCATTTTTCTGGATGGCTTTCTCACAAAACACTAAAAGAAACACATCACATTTTGTGAGGCACACCACCTCCGTATCCAAAATCTCATAGCCTCCTCCTGAGCAAATCCAGGCTCCGCACCCTCCTCTCCAGCCTCTCTGCCATTGCTCCCTTAGTTGGACACAACTGCTGGGTGGTTGAGAACGCAGGTTTCAGCCTAGTGAGCTAGGTTCCAGGGCAGCCTCTGCAATTGGCCACAGGACCTCAGGCAACTAATCCAAGCCTTGTTTCCCCACCTGTGGATGCGGCCCTCAGGGGCTCTGATAAGGATGAAATGAGACAGTGCGCACATATCATTTCTGCAAGTGAACGTTTGCATTTGTATCTGGGCATTTTTTAGGGAGGAGTCAAAGCTCTCCACAGATTCTCAAAGGGTTTTTTTTTTTAATTTAAATTTTATTGGAGTAGAGTTAGTTTACAAAGTTGTATTAGTTTCGGGTGTACAGCAAAGTGAATCGCTTATACATATACCTACATCCACTCTTTTTTAGATTCTTTTCCCATATAGGTCACTACAGAGTATTGAGTGGAGTTCCCTGTGCTATACAGTAGGTCCTTATTAGTTATCTATTTTATATATAGTAGTGTGTTTATGTCAACCCCAATCTCCCAATTTACTGCTCCCCCCAACTCAAAGTGGGTTTTTGACAAGAAAGAGGTTAAGACCTCTAGAAAATTGCACCAGCCTCCTAACGGGTCTAACGGCCTTCCTTCCCACTTCCCATCCGGGCTCCCTGCCACCACACTCTGTAATTATCGTCACTCTTCCACTTAAAATTCTTTCACACGTCCCAACTGCCTGTGGCAAGGGGCAGCAAAGTTTTTTTTTTCTCTAAAGGGCAAGGGAGTAAATATTTTCAAGCAGTGTGGTCTCTGCCACAGTTGCTCAGTTCTGCCGCAGTAGCATAAAATCAGCCATAGACAAGACATCGATGAATGGGCTTGGCTACATTCCCATCAAACTTTATGAAAACAGGGGCTTCCCTAGTGGCGCAGTGGTTAAGAATCTGCCTGCCAATGCAGGGGGCACGGATTCAAGGCCTGGGCTGGGAAGATCCCACATGCCGTGGAGCAACTAAGCCCCTGCGCCACAACTACTGAGCCTGCGCTCTAGAGCCCATGAGCCACAACTACTGAGCCCGCGTGCCACAACTACTGAAGCCCGCGCACCTAGAGCCTGTGCTCCGCAACAAGAGAAGCCACTGCAATGAGAAGCCCCCGCACTGCAACGAAGAGTAGCCCCTGCTCGCTGCAACTAGAGAACAGCCTGCGTGCAGCAACAAAGACCCAACCTAGCGAAAATAAATACTTTTTTTTTAAGTATAAAAAAAAAACTTTATGAGAACAGGCGGCAGGTCAGATTTGGCCCAAGTGCTATAGCTTACCAACTCCTGGCCTCCGGGATAAATTCTCAACTCTTTAACCCAACATGGAAGACCCTTGCCTCTCTCCCCTCCTCCCCTCCAGGCTCACCTCTCACTGTCCCCATGAACCACCACCCTGACTCACACAAGTTGTTCTCAGCACCCTCAATACACACCACGCCTTCCATGTGCCTCCCTCTTCCACAATACCTGTCACAGTGTAGGTTTACATTTGTTGACACATCTGCTTTCCCAGCTAGTGTGTTTCTCTGTAAGGGTAGGGACTGTGGCGTATTTCTATGTGGAATCTCCGACCTTGGCAAAAGATCTTTGTGCAGTAAATGTGTGGTAATGGATAGACCTACATTCCAACTACAATTGCCTTGCAACAAATTACCCCAAAACGTAGTGGTGAAAAACAACTGTTTTATTATGCTTGCAGATTTTGTGGGTCTGGAATTTGGACAGGGTACAACGGGATGGCTTGTCTGTGTCCCCAGTGTCTGGGTCCTAGTGGGGCCTCAGTTGGGTGACTCCCACAGCAGGGGGCTGGAAGACCAGCCTCCAAGGTGGCTTCTTCATCCCCATGTCCAGCCCCTTGACCAGCATGGCTGGGAGGCTGAGCTTAGCTGGGACTGTTGACAGAGCACCAAACATGCTCTCCAGCCTGGAGGTCTCAGTGTAGGAGGACTTTTCACATAGCAGATGGCCTCCCAGAGCACGTGTTCCAAGAGAACCAGGTGGAATCTGCTCGGCCTTTTCCAAGCTAGCCTGGGAAGCTATGCAGCATCACTTGAGTTTCATTCGTTGGATACAAGCAACCCATAAGTCCAGCCAGATGCAAGGGGAGGGAATTAGACACCACCTCCTGATGGAGAAGCATAAGAAGCACGCTCTTCTCTTGTAGAAGAGCATGTACGACAGGAGATGCTGCCCAGGTGAACTTTGGAAAACACAGTTGACCAAAACCTATGTCTGAATGGGTGAGTGAATGAATGTAGTCCTGGCACGGAAGCCAAGAAGTCAATGGTTCCCTCTGGTGGGGGATCCGGCCTTTGTGTCCCCAGCAAGGGGAGCAGTCTGTGGCCTCCTCAATCAGGAGGTCCCAGGATTTGTGCACTTTGCCTAAAGGGATTCCGTACCAGGACCTCCTGGCAGCTCTCTCAACTTCTCTCTCCTCTCACGCTCAGGAGAAGCGAATCTATGACCTGAAACAGAAAAATCAAGAACTAGAGAAATTCAAGTTTGTGCTTGACTACAAAATAAAGGAGCTGAAGAAGCAAATAGAACCTCGAGAGCACGAGATCAAGGTGATGAAGGAGCAGATTCAAAAGGTGAGAAGCCATCTGGACCCCCTGGCCTCCTTCCCAACCATTCCTGGCTGACCAGGAGGGAATGAAAGAAAGCTCTCCTGGGACTTCCCTGGCGGTCCAGTGGTTAAGACTCCCATGCTTCCACTGCAGGGGCTGTGGGTTTGATCCTTGGTCAGGGAACTGAGATCCCGTATGCCGTTCAGCACAGCAAAAAAAAAATTTTTTTTAAAGAAAAGAAAAAAGAAAGGAAGCTCTCCTCACAGCCCCTCCCTGCTCCCAAGGTGTGGGCAGCATCCACTCCGCAGAAGAAGCCACGGGAAGGCCCAACGGGGGTTCGGTGGTGCAAAAGCAAAGTGCTTTGGGATTTGGCTTCCCCCGGGGCCTTGGGGTGGGCTTTGGACCTATTTGGACCACGGTTGCTGGGCCTTCAGCCACCAGGGGGCGATGTGTACTCAGCCACCAGCCTGTCCACCAGAAAGTACACCCCTCCGGATTCAACGCTTTTTTCTCAGGCTAAACATGCCGGTGGGGGCCCTATGCAAGGCCATGGTGTTTGGACTTCATCTGATAAGGAGTGTAGGACGTCATCAAAGGCTCTTGAGCAGGAGAGTGGCATAATTAAGAGTGTGTTCTGGGAAGCAAACAGGATGGACGCAGAGAGGAGAGAGATCAGAAGCAAGGGACGAGGTCTTCTGAGAGCCCAGTGGGGTACAAGTGTTCCCCTTCGGCCCCTCTGCCCAGTACGCAGGGCATTTCCTTATGATGTGTTTACCTGTCAGCCTCCCCACACTGGGCAGTGAGCAGCTGACAGTGGGGTCCACGGTTCATCTAAACGAGCGTGGTCCTGACCTCCCCCTCGTCCAGTTTCCCCGTTTCTCAACCAGTGCCACCACGATCCACCCAGGTGCTTAACGTAGAAGTGTGGAAGCCATCTCGGTTCTTCCCTTCTCTTAATTCCTATATCCAAGTCACCGATGCCTATCTGATCCATTTCCAAACGATATCTCAGATCCAACCCTCCTTGCCCTCCGCTGCCATCACTCCAGTCCAAGCCTACATCATCTCTCTTCTGGTCCTGACTCCAGCCTCCAGTCTGGTCTCCACATAGAGACCACAGCAAACCCCCAGTGGTATCTCCTCCCACCTAGAATGAAGCCCAGACTCCTTACAGAGGCCCTGCGTGATCCCACCTCAACCAGCCTCTCTAGCCATATCTCCAGGCTCCTTCCCCGGCTCCAGCCTGCAGGCTTTCTGACAGTTCCAAGGACAAGCACCTTTGCAGCCAGAAGGCTCTCAGATCTTCACACGACTGGCTTCTTTGTGTCTTTCACGTCTCAGCTCATGTGTCACCTCTCCAAGGAGGTCTTCCCTGCCACCCTATCCAAAACAGCCTCCTACTCCCCCTCCATCTTCTCTAACTGTGCAGAGCAAAGCTAAAAGGGTAGCAGGGTGTACCGACGGCCCAACTAGAACTGGCTCCACAAGGGCTATCGTGGAGAAAAGCAAAGCCTTTTCTCCAGGAGGCCCAGAAAAGAGGCCACGTGGTGGGATCAGTCCAGGGCTGGGACATCCAGAGAGGATATGTCCTGTGACGATGACTTTCTCCCTGGCCTCTGGGATAAGGAAGGATGTTCCCAGCTGACCACAGAGCTGCCTCCTCTGGCCCTCCTGCCATTCTTGAGTGACCTCAGGGCCCAAGAATGGCAGCCTGAGAAGATGAGAAAGAGCAGGGGCCCTACCTGCCTGGAAAGCGGATGCACCGCAGGCCCCTGGCAGTCACGGCCCCACTTCTCCCACCTCATCTGACATATTTGTCAACTGCACTTAAGGTTGGGTTGGTTGCCTTCCACTGCAACACACCTGAGAGATTATTCACTTTCCCTTCAGTAACTGGACCAACCACAGCTTTGATCCTCAGCAGGGAATATGCCACCCCCTTGGGAAAGAGTCAAACAGGACCCCTCCTGCCCCACCCCAGGTGCCAGTTGCTGCCAGGGCTGATGTCTGGGCCCAGTTCCTTCCCCAGGGGCCTGTGACCTGGTGGCTTCCCTCTGTGGGTCAGACACATTAGGCCCGCCTGCTGTGGACCTCCTGTGAAGTTCCTTTCCCTGCAAGCAGGAAGCTGCAAGCCCTTGGCTCCTTTGTAGGACTGAGACATCCGTGCCTGAAAACAGAAAACTTCCCTGACTCAAGTGCCTCCCCTCACAGACACTCTTCCAGCTTCTCTTTGATGAAACGTGACTATCTCCTTCTTAGGGCAGGAGTTTCCAGAACCTCATCATTTTACTTCACACTCTTTTATTTCTTCATCTAGTGCAGGTTTTCTCCGCCTCGGCACTACTGGCGCTTTGCTGTGGATAATTCCTGCTGTCGGGGGGCCAGTCCTGTACATTGTGGGATGTTTAGCAGCACCCCTGGTCCCTACCCACTAGAGGTAGAGACAGTCCTCCCCCTCCCCCAGATATGACAACCCAAAATGTCTCTAGATGTTGCCACATGTCCCCTGGTGGGGTGGGGGTCAAGATGCCTCTCCCCAGCCCCCGCTCCCCACTAAGAATCTCTGAATGTGATGAGTACCACCTGGACGAGTAGGTGGAATTTCCACTCCAGGAAAGGGATGCTTGTTCCCATTCACTGGCTAGTCTCCTGGCTGACCAGCCAACTACTCAAAGTTGACATATTTCTATGTCAATCTTTCTATGAAATAGATTCTTTTGACTCTCGGCGTGGTTTGACGCTTTGCTCATATCACTTCCTTTCTAACCTAATCCGGTCATTGCTGACTTTAAGATTGTAGAGAAAGAGGCACAGCCAGCTGCAGGCACCCAGGCCTTGGAGAAGCCCCTTTCTCTCTTGCAGCGGCCGTTTCCTTGGTCTGGGGCACCAGCCTCTCACCTGGGCCACAGCGGCAGCCTCCTGACCAGGCTACCTGGCTCCAGTCTTACTCTCTCCGGTACAGCCTCTGCATCAGGCCTCCTAAGGTGCAAATCAGATCATGCCACTCCTTGGGTAAGACCTGTCAGTGGCTCCCTGAACTTTCAGGATAAGGGCCAAGCTTCTGACCTATTTAAACTTCTGGGCAGGGTAAAGTCCGAGCTTCACACCATTCGAGCCTCAGCCCCAGGCTCCTGCATGACCCAGCTCAGCTGACCTCTCTAGCTCCTCTCCCACTTCCTCACACGCACCCCTCCAAGGTCCAGGGGTGGCTGGACCACTTGCAGCCTGCAGAGATGTGCCAGGCTGCCCATGCCTCTGGTCCTTTCTGTGCATGGCTGTTCTCTCTGCCTGAGATTCTCCTTCCCAACTTGTCCTTAAACCCTATGCCTCCTACAAAATCCGACGGAGCGTCCCTTCCCTAGGTGCCACCCCTCAGCTGCACTGTGCACACACAGGGCCCTTTCCGCCCTGACTGCTGATGGTGTTGATCCTACTGCACGTGAACTTCTCATTTACTTCCCTCTAATCCCTCTAGACCCGGGGCTTCTTGAAGAAAACTGCCTCTCAGTCAGGTCTGTATCCCTATGCCTGTGACAGCCTGCCAGTCCTTTCTAAGGGATACATTCTTTCGTTAGCTATGTAAACATCCACACTTGCTCTGTGTCCTCTACCAGGCGGCTCCACATAGCTCTGCCAACATTGCATGTTTATCTTATCATTCTTCCAGAGGCAGGTTGTTTCAGGCTCTCCTCCCTTCCCTCAGTCTTGCTTCTCGTGGCCTTCTATACCTGCGATGCATTCATTTATTCATATGTTATTCATATGAATATTTATTGAGAGCCGCTTTTATGCCAGGCGTTGGGTCAAAGGGCTACTCTGTTCGTGCAAAATGCTTCCTGTAATTAGGCTAACATTCTTCCAAACGCTGCCCCTTCCTGTCCAGGATGCGGCTCCCTAGGACCTCCTGGTACCCGAGAAGCTGGCCGGGAGCCTTGAAATCTGGCCGAAGGGCCTGCGTTAAGCTAGAGGGGCTACTCCATCCAGCCAGGAAAAAACCCCGTGAACTCCCCATCCCCCTCAAAATAGTCAGCAAACCACTCTAGCCACCAGATCCACCAGATCTGGCGTGTCAGTCAGACTGCGCTCCTTTGCTTTTGGCAGGAGTTAAATCAAAGACGAGCTCACCTACAGCTGATCTCATTCTAATCAGAAGCTCTGATTGTTACTCACCTGTCCTTGGTTGATACCCATGTAACAATGAATAAAGAGTCAGAAGCTCATGGGTAGCTTCTTTTCTTTTTTCTTTTGAAGATGAGGCCCTCTGAAGTTGTCTTTTTCAGACCTTTTCAACAGAATGATGAGGCAAAGTTTCCTTCTCAGCCTCCTCTTTTCTGTTTTATGCCTGAGACTGGGGACACCTACATGCTGGTCCCTCAAAACTTTCTGCTTGAGGGTCGGCCCTGATGATTTGTGGCCCCAGAGGGTCAAGATTCACTCACACAACTTCACAAAGTAGGACGAGGAAGCTGCTTCTCTGCAGAACCTTGCCTCAGGTTCCAGGTTCCAGTCAATTTATAAGGAATTCAAGAAAAGAAGGAAGGAACAGGGAAACTAAGGGCAAAAAATTCATAGCCGGGCTATAGAAACACATGATCTGGGTTAACATTATCAGCCAAGGGGTGGGGAGCTTTGGGGACGGCGAGGCGTAAGAAGAAAAGTTCCTTCCAGTGTGGGAACTAGAAGGTAAGTGCCCTGGTAGCAGGGGAAGCATTCCCACTGAAAGACTTCAGTTCTCAAATATAATTTTCTTTCTCTGACTTTCTTCATTGAGGTACCACTGGTTTATGATGTTATGTAGGTTTCATGTGTGCAGCATTATATTTCTTTTGTTGTTGTTGTTCTTCTTTTATTTATTTATTTATTTACTACTTTATTGGAGTATAATTGCTTTACAATGGTGTGTTAGTTTCTGCTTCATAACAAAGTGAATCAGTTATACATATGTTCCCATATCTCTTCCCTCTTGCGTCTCCCTCCCTCCCACCCAACAGCATTATACTTCTTCTTCCATATGTACTACAGCGTGTACGGTTTCCATCCGTCGCCGTACAGTTGCTCCCCTTTACCCATGTTGCCCTTGCCCTGCCCTTTTCCCTCTGGTAGCCACTACTCTGTTCTCTGTGTCTATGTGCTTGGTTTGTTTGGTTTGTTCATTTATTTTGTTTGTTTTTTGTTGTTTTTCTAATTGAAGTACAGTTAATTTACAATGTTGTGTTAGTTTCAAGTGTACAGCAAAGTGATTCAGTTATACATATAACTTTCAGGTTATTTTCCATTATAGGTTATTATAAGATATTGAATATAGTTCCCTGTGCTATCCTTATTTACCTGTCTTATATATAGTAGTGTGTAGATGTTAATCCCAAACTCCTAATTTATCTCCCCCCACTCCACCCCCTCTATCCCCTTTGGTAACCATAAGTTTGTTTTCTATGTCTCTGTGTCTTATTTCTGTTTTGTAAATAAGTTCATTTGTATCATTTTTTTTAGATTCCACATATAAGCAATATCATGATATTTGTCTTTATCTGACTTACTTCACTTAATATGATAATCTCTAGGTCCATCCATGTTGCTGCAAATGGCATTATTTCATTCTTTTTTATGGCTGAGTAATATTCCTTTGTATATATGTACCACATCTTTATCCATCATCTGTCGATGGACATTTAAGTTCCTTCCATGTCTTTTATATCCCAAAGGTGAATGAAATCATACAGTATTTGTGTTTCTCTGTTGGGCTTATTTCACTTAGCATAATACCCTAAAGGGACCCATCCATATTGTTGCAAATGGCAAGATTTCATTCTTTTTTATGGCTGAATAGTATTCCATTTGTGTGTGTGTGTGTGTGTGTGTGTGTGTGTGTGTGTGTGTACCAAAGTTTCTTTATCCATTCCTCCACTGATGGGCACTTAGGTTGCTTCCGTATCTTGGCTATTGTAAATAATGTTGCGATAAACATAGGGGTGCATATATCTTTTCAAATTAGTGTTTTTGCATTCTTTGGATAAATACCCAGAAGTGGGATAGCTGGATCCTCTGTTATACAGCTATTCTTAATTTTTTGAGGACTCTCCGTATTGTTCTCCATAGTGGCTGCACCAATTTACATTCCAACCAACAGTGCACAAGAATTTCCTTTTCTCCACATCTTCTCTAACCCTTATTATTTCTTGCCTTTTTGATAATAGCCATTCTAACAGGCAGGAGGTGATATCTCACTGTGGTTTTGATGTCCCTTTCCCTAATAATTAGTGATGTTGAACATTTTTCATGTGCCCATTGGCCATCTGCATGTCTTCCTTGTCTTACTTTCTTATTCTTGACTCTTTTTCCCCTGTTGTCTGTAGATGGAAACTGAACTGGAGCGTTTCCATAAGCAGAACACACAGCTGGAGCTGAACATCACAGAATTGTGGCAGAAATTAAGAGCTACTGATCAGGAGATGCACAGAGAGAGACAAAAGGTGTGAGGATTTTCAGAGTCCGGCAGCTCTTGGATTCAGGAGCTGGCGCCTGTCTGCAACGGGCAGCTGGCTTTCAAGAGACAGAGCCAGCCCGTAGCTAAGATACACCCATTTTAACCCGCATTCTTTACTTGTTCACAGCCCTGCCCTATTTCAGGCTCATGTAAATTTACGTAACTGAATCCATCTGAGACTATAAAATGACTTTGAGTATAGTGATCAAGGAGGTGGGAAGCCAGTGTTATAGGAATGCTCACAACATTGGCTTGTGTGGCCTGGGAAGGAACCTGTTCAGAGAGATCATCTGTAGTCGGTGGTTAAAGGCTTGGCTGCCAAAACAATACTGAGCTAAGAGGACCTCAGAAATCGCCTATTCTGGTCTCTCTATGTAATAAACAAGGAAAGCAAGGTCAGAGAGATTAGGAAGTTAGAAACCTCACCCAGCACCCACAGCTAGTGAGCACATACAGAGCCAGGGCTGGGAACCCAGTCTTCTGGTCCTGGGCCAGGACTTGGCTGCACCCTCACCCCCTGGCACAGAGCACCTCGTAATGTCGGTAGAATCAGATTGAATTTTTCCACCCCTCACATTAAGGATTGACTCTGTACTGGGTAATACTAGAAGCTGCAGAGCTCTCAACGTGAACGGATACAGATCCTGCCCTTCACAAACTGAAGAGGTTGCCAGGTGATCTGTGGCATGTGCATAGTAATTAGCAGCCAGCCAAGGCTGAACATTATGGAACGTGAATAAAGAGCTGTGAGAGTGAAGAAAAAGGAGAGTCTCTCTAGGTCAGGGGTAGGGGAAGATGGGTATCTGAGAAAGCATGATGGAAGAGGGAGGACGTAGCCCAAGTTTGCAGATGAACCAGTCTGCTCAATTTTGTCATTATCTTCCCTACCCACTCACAGCAGCCCTCAGGAGGGAGAAACGCTGGGTGAGCTAACAAAGGGGCAGGGAAGCCCTGGCGCAGGGGTCTGCAAGGGAGAATCGATGCTCTGCATCTTGGCTCCGAAAGGAGTAGGTGACCACTTGCACCTCTTTTAGCCTTTTAAGGCCTGTGGTCCTGGAAGGAATCTAGAGCCAATAAAGGAATCAGTGTGTGCTGCCTCCTAAAAATGCAACTGTTCAGGCCAGGGACACAGGAGTTTTAGGGCCTCTCCCTCTGGGCGAGGTGCCCATCTAGGCCTCTGGGCCCTGTGTGGCCCCTGGTGGTCAACGGTGAAGTCCTAGATGAGGTGTCTCTTGTCCCTTTAAGCAGTCACAAGGCTGCAGCCCCTGACCCTGGAGAGTCCCTATGGGGCTAGAAGTAAATGCCTCTGCTTGCAGGAGCGGAACTTGGAGGCGCTGGTCAAACAGTTTAAGACGGACCTTCACAACTGTGTGGCGTACATCCAAGAACCCCGGCAGCTGAAGGAGAAGTTCCGCGCTCTCTTTGAGAAGTACGTGCAGCGGGCAGACATGGTGAGCTCTGCCTCCCTTTCAGCCCTTCCCTGCCCTCCAGGCTCTCCCCTCCCTCACGGTGAGCTCCTCCTGCCCCATCAGGTGGAGATCACAGGGCTGAACTCGGACCTGCAGCAGGAGTACAGCCGTCAGCGGGAGCACCTGGAGAGGAGCCTGGCCACCCTCAAGAAGAAGGTGGTCAAGGAGAGTGAGCTGCACCGCGCGGATTACGTCCGCATCATGCAGGTACCTGCAGGCACCCCTCAGCTCCCTCGAGCCTGGGCCGTCAGAGACAAGAGAGCCTGTTAAGGGCCCCTCCAAGACCACTGTCCTCAGGGTTCCCCAAATGTCCAAGGGACCCACTAGCTTCCTCCAAAGCTCCTTCTTTGACCTGTCTCCTCTGACCCCCCCCAGAGCTCATCCTGGCGGTGACCATGGCCCAGAGCCCCGCCAAGGAGGTTTTCTAGGCACTTCCATGCCCACTCCTGCCCCTCCAAGATTCGTTCATTTCTGCCCCATCTCACTTCACCAGCCACCTGTTTCTTTTTTCTACTCCCATCTTTATCCAAAGCACTCCTGCATCCTGCCTCACTCCTCTCCTTGGGCCAGGACTTGGCTACACCCTCACCCCCTGGCACAGAGCACCTCATAACGTTGGTAGAATCAGATGGAATTTTTCCACCCCTCTGGACTTTGGCCATGTGACTTTAGCTCTCCCAGTTACTCTCTTCCTTCTCCTCTTTTCTGTTTCCAGCTCTTGTTTCACCTTACTTTGTTTTGCTGCTTTTTATTCTGCTACCTGTTATCACATGGTCCCTGCTGGCCAAGTTCTCTCCTGGGAACATGCCCATCTCCTCCCACCTCCTCCGGCTTTTCTGGTGCCTCAGGTCCCTACTCTTATCTCTCGGGTCCAGAGCCAACCACACCCACCCTAAGTGTTGGCCTCCCCTCGCTTTAATGAGCTCTCCACGCCCACCTCCCCGGACTCTTCCTAGGGCTGTTCAGAGAGCCTAACCCCATTACTGCCACCTCCACTTACACACGCTATCGGACTGCCATGCAGGATTCTGCTGCCAATTTCTCTTCGGGTATTGGTCTCACCTGAGGCAGTTAATGTGAATTAATATCAAAAGAGAACAGTCAGAGAAGAGAGAGGCCTGTGGGGTGTTTGGGGACCCAGAAATCCCCCGACGTAACTTGCGGGGGGGGGGGTCCTGAACTTCTCCAGGAGCTGCCTTCCTATCTGTGAGAGAGGAAGAAAACACCAACCTCAGCCAGTTACTGCAAGGATTGAGTGAGCTAACTAACGTCAAGCATTGGCCACTGGCCCTGTACAGAAAAGGTGCTCCAAAAATGCTATTTTCCTTCCCTTCTTCCGAGCAAAAGACTTACTCAAGAACCAAGGCAGGTCTTCCCTGGTGGCGCAGTGGTTGAGAGTCTGCCTGCCAATGCAGGGGACACGGGTTCGAGCCCGGGTCTGGGAAGATCCCACGTGCCGCGGAGCGGCTGAGTCCGTGAGCCATGGCCGCTGAGCCTGTGCGTCTGGAGCTTGTGCTCCACAACAAGAGAGGCCACGACAGTGAGAGGCCCGCGCACCGCGATGAAGAGTGGCCCCCGCTCGCCATAACTAGAGAAAACCCTCGCACAGAAACGAAGACCCAATGCAGCCAAAAATAAATAAATAAAATTAAAAAAAAAAAAAAAAGAACCAAGGCAAAATCTAGTAGGAGAGCCTGAAAGGCCATCACAGCACAGACTGGGAGTGCCCATGGGCTTGAGGCACAGAAGACGGGACAGTACAGCTGATCCCAGGCCCCCCAGCTGGTGGCCCGGGGTGCCCATTGCTTTGGTATGCATTTGTAAGGAGCTGCATCTGCAGGTACCGAGGCCCTGACACTTAAGTCTCAAAAGGCGGAGGAAGGCTGGGGCAGACATGGCATCTGAGAGAAACTTGTTAGAAAACACAGAAAATGAGGTCACTGTCTCATTTGTATGTTCAGATAGGAGCACGGGGCCTCCTCATTCATTCTCCAGCATGACCGCCGATACTAAAAGAAGAGTTGCAATGGAATACAAACATCTAGGACACGTACTTTATTCATTCAGGACACGTATTTTGCGGGCTTCTTTCATGCCAAGCTGCGAGCTGGCCGTGGAGGATTCCCAGATTAATGTGATGGCTTGCCTACTCTCAGCGAGCTCACCTAGGGAACTTGAGCCAGACACAGATAAGCACTGCTCCGTGCAGCGCATCCAGGGTGGTAAGCTCACCGGAGAGGGGGGCTTCAGCTAGGGGGCATGGCACTTGAGCTGGGCCTTGAAGGGTGAGTAGAGGGGGTCAGGGAGCAATGGGGGAAGAGCCTTCCAGGCCGAGGACACAACCTGAGAACAGTCAGAGAAGAGAGAGGCCTGTGGGGTGTTTGGGGACCCAGAAATCCCCCGACGTAACTTTATTGCAGAGCATGGGGGCAAGGAGGAAGGGCCCTTTGGAACGGTAGGTAGCTTAGGGTCACGTTGAAAGGGCTTTCCGTGTCACACAAGAAGCATGAAGTTTATTTTATAAGCTGGTGCCCCCTAAGGTTTCTTATGTAGGTAGGGTATGTAGGTAGGTATGTTATCTGTTCCGGAAAGGTTACTTCAGTAGGTATGTAGGTAGGTAGGTATGTTATCTTATGTAGGTAGGTATGTTATCTGTTCCGGAAAGGTTACTTCAGTGGGCAAGGGGGAAAGACCAGTGGGGAAAGGCAAGTGGCAGGAAAACCCTTTCGAAGATGACTCCCATGTTAAAGGGAGATGACAGGCCTTGGGAGGGGAAAGTTGTGATGTCAGAAGATGTTTCAGAGTAGAGGTGATGAATAGAAGTGGGTGGTTAGATGTGAGAGGAAGGCTGAAAGAGGAGTGGAGAAATGGTTCATTTGTGCAGTTAGGCAGATGGCGATCCCACCAACTGTGGACTCCAGAAAGACGCCACTGAGTGGGGCTCCCAAGTTATCGGAATAAATCCGTTGCCTGCTTTTTCCACACTAACCAGACCCTGCTGTATTCTTCAAGGTGTCAACTCAAGGTAGGCCAGCAGGGGGTGCTCTAGGCATTTCCTTTCTGCACCCTTCTCCCGCGGAGTCTGAAGTTCTGTCAGCGGGTTCCCGTGTGAGGCTCTCTGGCATTGCCCCTCAGCCAAAGGCAGTGCTGGACAGCTTGGCGTAGCCTCTTTGTTCAGAAGCCTTTCTATATAAACAGACCTTAGCATCCCCGAGCCAGCCTCTCTCACATGCCCCAAGTCCTGGCGCTCGATGGACCCAGGTCAGATCTTCCCTGCAGAGGAGCTGGCTGGGGGTCTGGAGGATCAGAGGGGCCTTTGTAGACCGTTCTGACCAAGGCGGGATCAAGAACAGAAAAGCTCAGCAAACCTGCTGCGTTCACGTTTTGACTTCACAAAACTACCCAAGGCGCTTACAGTCGACCTCAGTGTGGTCTCTGGACTCCTCAGAGCACGGACCACCCCGGAAAGCCCTCTTAAGGTACATTTCAGGGGCTCCCTCGGCCTCCATACCATGTGAGGTGTTGACGGAGGTGACGTACAGCAGAGGTGAGAGTGGCGTCTGGGAGGCAGCAGTCACAGGCATCAAGGCGGACGCCACCAGGTTCGAATCCCAGCTCTGCCACCCATGCACAGCCTCGGCTTCCTCACAGGCAGCTGCATCCCATAACACCTTCCTGCTGAGGTGGTTGTAGGGATTAAACGAGGTTGTGTATGCAGAGTGTCTGACACAGTGCAGGAATCCAGTCCACCCTTGGAGTTGTTATCTTGTTCTTATCCTCGTCATCAAGCATTTGGCGGCTCAGGCCCTGCTTGCTCCCTCTTGGCTCGGGCCTGAAACACTCTTCCCTGCACCGCCCCTCCCCCAGGCTCCACAGGGAGGCTTCCTCACGTGACCGCCCTGCGGGGCATCTCTCTGCACTGGATCCAAGCTGGCCGCCCACGTCTGGCACAATAAGCACCTAACAGGCTTTCTGTTTTATGAATGAACCAACGGAGCAGAGGAATCGGGCTGCATTGAGTCCTGGGCCTCAATCACACTCTAGTGAGGCCTGAGTCGTGTTCTGGAGACCTGTCTTAGGTGACCAGCCTCGTGAAGGTGTCCAGGGCTGGCAGTGGCGTCAGAAACATGCATATCAAAAGGTACCAGGAGCCTGAAGTCCCAGTCACGGCGACAGGGCTGTCAGGGTGGAGAGAATGGCGGGGGCTCCACGTGGGGCCATTACTGTAGTAGAGGTGAAAGATGCTGAGAGCTGGTTATGAATGAACATGAGATTCAGTTCAGACACAAAGTCGACAGGATTGAGTGACAAAATGAATGGAGGTTGACCGGGAAGAAGTTTCTGGAGAGAACTGGGGAAATGGCACTTTCAGTCTCTAATCTTTATTCTGATTACGATTATTTTATTGAATGAAGCAGGGGAAGTGAAGCTAAGCGATGCCAGCTAAGAGGAGGAGTGGAGAGAGCCCCTGAGTGGGCTGGTGTGCCCATGAGTTCCCTGTGGCTCTCCTAAGACTCCCTTCTGTCTGGTCTCCCCTGCTCAACATTTACCCCCTGGTTTGTAATTTGCTGGTTTACAGGATTCAATCTTATTCAACTTGGTATCCACTGTGCTAGTTATTCATTTGCTTATCCCTTCCACAAATATTTATTGAGCACCTCTTACAGGCCAGGCAGAGTCCAAGGTCTTAGAATCCAATAAATACGCACTTAAGTGATTATGTCATGATATAAAGTCAGCATGGAGAAATTCCAGGGGGAGGAAACAGAGCATCTGGAAAGAAAATGTGGGCTATGCCTCACCAAGGCCTGGGCTGGTTAAAAGGGTAAAAAATCAGAAGGAGAAAACCTGCTGACTTTATAGAAAAACAGGCACAAAGCCGAGCCTGCGGATGAGGGACTGGTAATAATTGGGCATTTCATCCAATGAGGGACTGGTAATAATTGGGCATTTCATCCAATGAGGGACTGGTAATAATTGGGCATTTCATCCGGAGAACATTTTTTTTTAATGAGGAAGAGTGAAATTAAGTGAAATACTGAAAATCTGAAGGTAGATCTGATCTGCCTAATTAAAAAGGCTCTGGAGGGAAGGATTATCGGGGTGTCTGCAGTTCACATTCCCGTGACAGAGAAGGCTTGTCCTGCTCGCTGACAGCAGTGCTTGGGATCACCCTGTCCTCTGGGCTCAGACTCCACACTCACCACTCCAGAGCCAGTGTCCCAAGGGGAAGCACAGTTTGTTTCCGGCACAGGTTCGTCTTATGTAGATTTGGTCAGTGTTTGCCTTTGTTGGTACTCAGACCCTCGAGGGCCTTGCTACTACCCACAGCAGCATCTCCTGGGACCTGGTTAGAAATGCAGAATCTCAGGAGCAGCTCCAGGCCCGCTGAGTCAGAAGCCACATTTAAACAGGATCCTCAGGCGATTCCTGCACAGTCCTATGAGAGGTGCTGTGGCGGACGTGCTGAGTACTGAGGCCGTGGGCTCCACGAGCAGAGCGGTCCATGGTGAGAGGGACGTCTCCCTTGGGGCTCCTGTGCTGAGTGTGCAAAGGAAGGCAAGGCAAGAGAGAAGAGACTGCTTGGTCCCAGAGCGCAGAGCCCCTCCACCTGGCCTGCAGCGGGCTCTGCCCTGCATGCCTCTCTACTCCTCTCACCTCATATTCCCGTGACACAGAACTGCTGCAGGTCATGCCACACACCTGCCGTGTCATTCTGTGCCTTTCTCCTGCCATTCCAGTTATCTGGGACCCCCTTTACCCTCTCCTTGCTAACTCTGTCAAGCCTCAGCCCAGGGGTCAGTGCCTAGGAATCCACCCTGGTCATTCGGGCAGAGCTAAGTGCCTTTCCTCTGTGTCCCACTCCTCCATCCCAGCAAGGTGGCCACCTCACTAAAGTGTGCCCAGACCCCTCATTAAACCCTAAACTCCTCAAGGACAGAGGCCAAGTCTTACTTTCTCTATATATACACCTCAGGATCAGCACAGTGCCTGGCACATAATAAGTACTCAATAAATATTGGATGGATGAATATTTATCAAACACTAACGAGAGAAGTGAACTTCCAGTGGATGTAGCAAATGTTAATTATCCATTTACTTTTCTTTATTCCTCAGTAAACTGTATGCTGCTGAGAGCAGAAACCATGTCTTATTTCTGTCTGCATCCGGGGGATGCAGCAGATACCACATAAATGTAGGTTCAACATACGAATGGAAAAAAAACAAAGTGTAGCACAGTACTTAAGAGCTCAGAGCTCTGGAGCCAGACTGGGTCAGAATCCTGGCTCTGCCACTTGCTATCTATGTAATTTGGGTAAGTTACATCACCTGTCTGTGCCTCAGTTTTCTCTACTTTAAAACTGTGGTTGTAATGGAATCTATGCATAGGGTTATTATGAAACTTCAATGCATTAAGTTCATGAAAAGTGCTTAGAAAAGCATTGTTGTTGCTACGGATGGGGAGAGCCTGGTTGGATGGGAATGGCGCACACTGCCTGTAGCTAACTTTGCCAGAGTCCACCTGAAGGTAAGTCAGCTGGTACCTCAAGAGGCTGATCCATGAGCCAGGATAAAGACTCATGCCACAGTAGAGGCACCAGAGACGCAATCTGGGTCCAGGACCAACCCTGACTCTTCCCCACACCCTTAGCCCCAGAGGCCAGAGCAGGTCCTGTGCCCACTGACCACTTATCCATCTACACTCACTCTCTCCTCCTTCTTCTCTATAGGAAAATGTCTCCCTGATCAAGGAGATTAATGAGCTCCGCAGAGAGCTGAAGTTCACCCGCTCCCAAGTCTATGACCTTGAAGCAGCCCTGAAACTGACCAAGAAAATTCAACCACAAGACGTTCCAGAGACAGGTAATGTCACCAGTGGTCAAGAAAGATGGGCACTGGGATCGAGGGACCAATGGCAGCCGCGAGCAGGTCTCCTTGTGGCTTTCAAAGCTGCCTCTCCTGAGTTTCCTCCTGTATCAGCACACATCCAGCCCATGGCCTCCTGGGCACCTCTGCATGCCACGCGCCTGCTCTTCAAAGGATTTGTGAGGACCCTACCACATTCAAACACTCGCAAATCCAGAATTCTTGGGGTTAGCAAAGGTTTCAGAATTCAGAATCTTTCAGATCATAGGAAGAACATACTATATATACTGTCTGGGGCAGTGCCCTGAAATCAAACACATTAGTATTTCTGTAGTGAAACATATGAATATTCGCACTAAACTTCATGAATTTAAAAATGCTTTCCATTTTTAAAGCTTTTTGCATTTTACAATTGTGGATCAAGGATTGTGGACCTGTACGATGAAAATAAAGGCAAAAGTAAGGACCAGAAACAATTTAAAGGGAGAGGGAAAGAATTACATTAAAACTATTAAATGAGTTAGTTATTGCAGTTATAAAATTCCTCTGAATTTCTGATAGCCAAGACAAAAAGGGAAAAAATATGATGGTTTACATAGCTCTCATATGGGGAAAGGAAGTTTTTTTCTGGAGGAACAAACCTTTCCCTGGTACTAAGTTCTGTGAGAAACTAAATACATGGAGCCTTATAAAAGGGATATTGGGAGCTTCCCTGGTGGCGCAGTGGTTGGGAGTCCGCCTGCCCCTGCAGGGGACGCGGGTTCGTGCCCCGGTCCGGGAGGATCCCACATGCCGCGGAGCGGCTGGGCCCGTGAGCCATGGCTGCTGGGCCTGCGCGTCCAGAGCCTGTGCTCCGCCATGGGAGAGGCCACAACAGTGAGAGGCCCGCATACCGCAAAAAAAAAAAGAAAGAAAAGAAAAAGAAAAAAGGGATATTGAACAACGTAATTGACAGTCTTTAATGGTAGGTTTTCAGACAATAAAAAAATATTCTTCAGGTGTCCATTTCTTATCTGGACAGTCAATAAAAAACAAGAGTATAAGGTATTACTGTGGAAAATTAAGCCAACATAGTTCAAGTATATTGTTTTCTGGTGGTTTACCTTCAGGAATAAAGCTTAGAAACCCTAATGAACTGAAACATTCCACAGCTGTGGACTGGGTCGTTCAAATATCACCACCTCAGGTACTGTGGTTATGCAAGGTATTATCATTGGCGGAGGGTAGCTGAAGGATACACAGGAACTCTCTGCACTATTTTCATAACTGTTTGTGAGTCTTGAACTGTTACAAATTTTATATATATATATATATATATATATATATATATATATATATATATATATAATTGTTGTCTCATACGCCATTGTCGTTAGAGTTGAAGTTGAGAGGGTAAACTCTGTGAGTAGTACCTGAAGAACAATATTAACTCTGAAGAACTGACATAAGAGCACAGCATGTGTTAAAAAGACTGAGAACTTGGGGGCTTCCCTGGTGGCCCAGTGGTTAGGACTCTGCGCTTTCACTGCCGAGGGCCAGGGTTCAATCCCTGGTTGGGGACCTAAGATCCCACAAGATGCGTGGCACAGCCAAATAAATTAATTAATTTAATTTAATTAATCAATCTGTTAAAAAAAAAAGACAGAACTTGACTTCTTGGAGGTGAAACCATCTTCAGTTGGAGGTGAAGCATAGATGTGTCTGTGAACAATCACAAAACTTCTCTTTTAGAAAATTATTTCAAATATGCCCCAGCGGCCTAGCAAATAACCAGTGGAGACCTCCTCAGGATGCTGTATGATACAGCCAGGTTCTTCTTATTACTGTTGGAAACTATCAGGCATAGACAAAAATTGAGAGAAATTCTAATGAATCCCCATGAATTCATTCCCTGACTTGAACAACGGTCGCTCTTGTTTCATCGCTATCGCCACACCCCCCCAATTATTCCCTCCCACACCCATAGTAGATTATTCTGAAGCAAACCAAATATCATGCCACTTGTGTCATAGAGCTTTACTCAAGGGAGGTTTCATCAGTAGTGGCTGAAGACAGGTATTACCAATTGTCTGCCTTGATCATGAAGAACCTAAGTCTGGCTTAGGACCAGCAAATGGAAAGACATCTTTTGTTCATGGACTGGAAGATTTATTAAAATGTCAATACTATCTAAAGTGATCTACACATTCAATGTAATCCCTATCAAAATCCCAATGACATTTTTTTGCAGAAATAGAACATCCATTCTAAAATTCATTGGGAGTTTCAAGGTACCCCAAATAGCCAAAACTCTTGAAAAAGAACAAAGTTGAAGGCCTCACACTTCCTATTTCAAAATTTACAGCAAAGCTATAGTAATCAAAACAGTATGGTACTGGCATAAATATAGACATATAGACCAATGGAATAGAATACAGAGCCCAGAAATAAACACTCACATATATGGTCAAATGATTTTCAATGTGGGTGTCAAGACTATTCAATGAGGAAAGGACAATCTTTTCAACAAATGGTGCTGGGAAAACTGGATACCCAAATGCAAAGGAATGAAGTTGGACCCTTACCTTACATCACATACAAAATTTAACTCAAAATGGACCAAAGACTTAAACATAAGAGCTAAAACTATAAAACTCATAGAAGAAGATATAGGGGGAAACTTCATTATATTAGATTTTGCAATGATTTCTTAGATAGGACATCAAAAGTACAGACAACAAAAAGAAAGTAGATAAATTGGACTACATCCAAATTTAAAGCTTTTGTGCATCAAAGAACACTATCGAAAAGTGTGAAAAGGCAACCCATGGTATGGGAGAAGATATTTGAAAATCACATATCTGATAAAGGGTTGACATCCAGAATATATAAGGAACTCTTACAACTTAACTACAACAACAACAACAAAAATTTTTTTAATAAGCAAAGGACTTGAATAGACATTTCTCCAAAGAAAATATACAGATGCCTATAATAAGTATATGAAAAAAGCATAAGGCAGGGACGTAAACAGAAACTAGGCAGAGGCGAGTGACGCAGGCCCAAGAAGGTGGATGGGCTGGTAGGTGGATGGGCTGGTAGGCTTTTGTGTGCTATACCTTCCCAGGGGTGCTACTTTTCCCAGGGCTCCATGGCTAGGCCACAGCTTGACTGAGGAGATGGTTACCAGGGACAACCAGTAGCAGAAGGTGGATGAAGGGTCAAGACCTAGAAAAGAGAAGAAATCAAGAGCCTAGAAAGATCAAGAGTCTAGAAATTGCAGTAAAGGAGAAGAGGCAAGGAGCAAAGGCAGACAGAGAAGGATCCAGACTTCTCCTGGGAAGGATGGGATAAGTTGAGTACTCTGAATGCTGGCCCCATCAGGTCAATTAGAGGCCAAGGCAAGCTGGCCACTGGCCACTGCTGACCACTTCCTCTTTAAAATACTCTCTTCCTTGGCCACCATCGTCTGTTCTTTTCTAGTTTTTCCTCCAGGGAAGGGGTTGGCAGCAGATAAGAAAGAGAACCCTCTTCCACTGAGAGAAGATTGACTGTGGTGAGGGAGTTGGGGACACCGTTCCTCAGTGAAGACGGTGGCAATGTCATCCATTAAGGGAAGAGGAGAGGATGGATTTGGCAATAACTTCTTGGATATGATATCAAAAGCACAGGCAACAAAAGAAAATATATAATAAATTAGACTGTCAAAATTTAAAACTTCTGTGCATCAAAGAACACAATCAACAGAGTGAAAAGACAACCTAGGGAATGAGAGAAATCATACAGCTAATAAGGGGTCAATGTCCAGAATATATAAAGAACTCCTACAACTCCAAAACAAACAAACAAACAAACGTGATTTAAAAATGGGCAAAGGACTATAGACACTTCTCCAAGAAGATACACAGATGGCCAAGAAGCACATGAAAAATGCTCAGTATTACTAACAATTAGGGAAATGAAATCAAAGCCACAATGAGATACTGTGTCACACTCATTAGGATGGCTACTGTCAAAATAAACCAAACCAAAAAGAAAAAACAAACAAAAAACCCAGAAAGTAACGAGTGTTGACAAGGGTCTGGAGAAATTGGAACCCTGGTGCACTGCTGATTGGAATGTAAAACAGTACAGCCACTATGGAAAACAGTAAGGTGTTTCCTCAAAAAATTAAAAACAGAGTTACCATATGAACCAGAAATTGCACTTCTGGGTTTATACCCAAAAGAAGTGAAAGCAGGGTCTCAAAGAGGATATTTGTACACTCATGTTCATAGCAACATTATTCACAGTAGCCAAAAGGTGGAAGCAACCCAAATTTCCAACAATAGATGAATGGATAAACAAAATGTGGTCTATATATGCAATGAAATATTATTCAACCTTAAAAAGGAAGGAAATTCTGACATATGATACAACATAGATGAGCCTTAAGGACATTATGCTAAGCCAGACACAAAAGGACAAATACCGTATGATTCCACTTATCTGAGATACCTAGAGTCATCAAATTCATAAAGACAGAACGCAGAATGGTGGCTACCAGGGGCTGGGGGTGGGGGGACTGGGGAGCTGTTTAATGGGGATGGGGTTTAAGTTTTCGAGATGAGAAGAGTTCTGGAGATTAGTTGCACAACAATGTGAATGTACTTAACACTACTAAACCATACACTTAAAAATGGTTAAGGGACTTCCCTGGTGGTCCGGTCGCTAAGACTCTGCGCTCCCAATGCAGGGGGCCCAGGTTCGATCCCTGGTCAGGGAACTAGATCCCACATGCCGCAACTAAGAGTTCTCATGCCGCAACTAAAGATCCCACATGCCGCAACTAAGAGTTCGCATGCCACAACTAGAGATCCCACATGCCGCAACTAAGAGTTCGCATGCCACAACTAAAAGATCCCACAAGCAGCAACGAAGATCCCAAGTGCTGCAACTAAGACCCGTGCGGCCAAATAAATAAATAAGTACATAAATTTTTTTTTAATGGTTAAGTTAGTAAATGCTATATAGATTTTACCACAATTTTTTTTTCTAAGTAGGGCAGAGGAGTTGGAGTAAAGATCGAAGTTCCTAAGTGCTTCTGTGGGGAATGAGAGTTTGCTGACTATGGACATAAAGTCCGTCTGGGGTTGGAAACCAAGAACTTGAATCTCGTGTGTTACTTTTATCGGTAACGCACAGCAGGCCAGATGTGAAAGTGGCGACCCTGGATGCTCAGATTATCTTGGATGTAGGCTGGGCAGGGTACCTGGGGCAGAGGGATGAGGCATCTAGATGGGAGAAGAAACTCACTGTGGGTCTACCTGGTCAGAAAAGGAGTGAATCTAAGAGGAACCCATTTAGTAGGTAAAAAATGGAGTTGTCCAGGAAGATGAGGTCTAAATTCAGTCTAAGAAGAGGTGAATGGAACACTAGAGTGAAAGATCCTGGGCGTGGCAAGGGAGGGGAAGCCACAGAGTGGGTGTGGAGCTGACGTGCAGGCCAAACAATTAATGCTGAGGGTTTAGCCTCGTGAGGCCGGGGAGTGGGGTGAGCCGTGGACCCTCGTGGACACCAGCATCACCCAGGACAGCACTGAGACAGGAGGATGGCTGAGAGTCTCGAGGGGTGTCCTCAGGGAACACGAGTGAGTGGCCACAGCAGGAGGGCTAGAGAGGGGTCTCCGGGAGCAGGTTTACGTGAGGAGGAGGACTGGCAGCTTGGAGGCCAACCCGGGTCAATAGGAGAGTGCCACTCTGCTTGGGGTGTGGGGACTGAGCAGCCCCCAATGGAGGGGGCTCGGGGCAGGTACACTGCCGGGCTCAGGAGAGGGGCCGGGCTGAGGTCAGGTTTAGCATTTGCCTTATCGCTCCAAAGCATGTCTCTTCGTTTCTCCTTCTCTGCTAGACAGTGAAATGGCTCATCTCCATCTCCCTGGCATCTGGGTTGGAGTGTCTACCCCATAGCAGGTGCTGCATAAATGTGTGCGGGGATGGAGGTTAGAGGGGGAGGGAGGATAAGCTTTGCAGCAGCCCAGCAACAGGCCCACACTAGTCCTGCTCTGTCCCCTACAGTGTCCGGCAAAGACTTACCAGGCTTGCCTCCCACCATGAGACTGAATGAGCAAGAAGAAACCGGGAGAATCATTGAGATGCAGCGCCTGGAGATCCAGCGCCTCAGAGACCAGATCCAAGAGCAAGAGCAGGTCCCAGGCTTCCACCCCTTCACTGGGATGCGGCTGCCTTCCCTCCTGGGGGCAGAAGCAGACTTAAAGCTGCAGACCAAGTGACCCACTCTGGTGAGCCGTCTCCAACCACGCCGGAAGAAGCACGGTGCTCTCGTCCCCAGCCTGACTCTGGGCTGCAGCCCCTGCAGCCCTGACCACACCAGCCTCTCCCTCCTGCCCTGGGGAACCTGGGACACGGGCAGAATAAAGGTGTTCTCCCACAATCACGTCCAACTCTCTGCTTAGCCAGGGAGCTGGGGAGGGAGGAAGGGAAGAGGGACCCTGAGGCCCGGGGGGCTCCTGCTCACCCAAAGCCACCACTGCTAGTCCCTGTCCGGGCACAGGGCTGCCTGTCACTGCAGAGATCCCACGCCCCTCCCCGCTCTTTTCTGGACCTCAAGGGCAGGGCTGCCTGTCGCTTCTGACCTGCCTTCTCCTCTGCCAGCCACGTCAGGACCAGACAAAGCCTCCTACGTTTTCTTCTTACTTATGAAACATAATGAGGTTTTCTGAGAATTTTCACAGCTGTGTGAAGGTGAGAGTAAACTCACGAACATGGCAAAGTTGGTAGCGTTCCCCCACATCTTCCATTAGCTGCAGGCCCTGGTGCCAGTGCTATAAGCAGAACTCGGCCCTTCTTTCTCTTACCTCCACGCCTCTCTAGACTTGTCATCCTCGGTCTGCAGGGCCCTGCCCTGCTCCTCCATTTCTGGGGGCCACCTCTTCCTCTAGACCCCATACTGGGTGGCCCAGACACACACACCAGGAGAGGTGTTTTTTTATGCACTAAGAACCCAGATGTCCCTGTCTTCTCCCACTTGCAGAAGCCAGACACCCTTCTAATACCCAAATAACAAATATTAAGCCCCCGATCTCTCCTGGTGTGTCATGGAATCTCAGGGCTGAGATACAACCAGAGCTCGAGAAGGACTTGAACTAAGACCTGGGACATGGCTGGAAGCCCCTCTCCCTCTCTTATTCTTGCCTCTCTATAGACCAGCCTCCCATTGCCAGTAAGTTGGCAGAAGGGGACCCTTAGCATCCCGTGAGTAGATGCCCCAAGGCTGACATGGAGTCTCTAGTCTAACTTTAAATTGCCCAAGGAGAATATTTGGGGCCTAGCTTGAACCTGGAGCTCACCACTATCCAATCAACTGTACCCATAGGGGTGGGTCACAGGATAGAATGCTGGATACTGGGGTTCATTCATCCCTGTAGTGAAGTTGGTCATTGTGAGTGGAGCAGATATTCCAAAAGATGTCTGTCTGGGGCAGCTGTCAGTCATGGAACATGGGGTGGGGGCAGGGGACCTGGAGCCATTGAAGACCTGGTGTTGCACCTGTGCTTTAAGCCCTTTATTCTCCAACTGCCTTTCAGGGTGGCAAGGATGGGACCTCTTTCGCTCACCACCATCTCCAGCACCTGCACAATCCCTGGTCCAGAGAAGGGAAACAGTAAATGTTTGCTGCATGAATTATATTATTTATCGCCCCCCCCCCGCAACTATTTAGACTAAGTATTATTGTACCCATTTTACAGATGAATAGACTGGGACACACGGAGTTTAAGCCATTTTTCTAAGGTTGCAGAGCTAGAGCTGCGACTGGGACCTTCAAGTTCAATCTAGTTCCATAACCAATATTCTCTCCACTGTTCATGCTTTCATTCACAAGCATTCCTTGAACACCTATTACATGCCAGGCCTGTTCTAGGAGCTAGGATGCATAAACCACTCCGTTCATGAAGCTTGTCTTCCAGGGCGGTAGACAGACAATATTCCAGACAGATAAGAATATATAGCATATTTGACAGCGACAAGTGCTAAGGAGAAACATGAGAGAATAAAGGAAATCAAAGAATGAAGGGCAGAGAGGTAGGATGTAGGGGGCAGGCTGTGATTTTAGACACAGGAAGGAAGCCTCACTGAGGCGGTGACATTTGAGCACCTTCCTGAAAAAAGGTGAGGGAGGGAGCCACGTGGGAGGAAAGAGCTCCAGGCAGAGGGAACAGCCAGTGCAAAGGCTCTGAGCAAGCACAAGCAGAAGAGGGACAGCGAGGCGGGGCGTGAAGTCAGAGAAGGCCTTCGAGATGGTGGGAGGACTCTGGCTGTTTCTCTGGGTAAGACAGGCCATTGGAGGACTTTACCTGCTCTACCTTATAACAGGATCACTCTAGCTACCGGGTGGAGAATAGCCTGAGGTGGGAACTTGGCTGAAGCAGGGAGGCTGGGCTACAGGCTGGGCTACAGCTCTCCCTTCTCCTGGGTCCTCCCACCGTCTAACACAGGGGTCCCCAACCCCCAGGCCACATCCAAGGCCTGTTAGGAACCGGCCGCACAGCAGGAGGTGAGCAGTGGGAGAGCAAGCGAAGCCTCATCTGCTGCTCCCCACCGCTCCCCACTGCTCCCCGTCACTCCCCACCACCCCCACCACCCCCCACCGCTCCCCATTGCTCCCCACTGCTCCCCACCGCTCCCCACCGCCCCCCATCGCTCCCCACCACCCCCCACCGCTCCCCACCGCCCCCCACCGCTCCCCACTGCTCCCCACCGCTCTCCATTGCTCCTCACCGCTCCCCACCACTCCCCATCGCTCCCCATCGCTTGCATTACTGCCGGAACCATCCCCCGCCCCACCCCTCAATCCGTGGAAAAATTGTCTTCCACGAAAGCAGTCCCTGGTGCCAAAAAGGTTGGGGACCGCTGGTCTAAGGGATCAGTTAGAATCCACACCTCAGGCTCTCTGCCCACTGCCACCTCCTCCCCCGCCTTCAGTACCGCCCATCTGAGCTGCCTCAACAGCCTCTGCTTTGGGGACAGAGTTCAACAGCCCTGCGAGGAGCCTGCCTGTCCACTTTAACTCCAAGTTATTCGATAAGACCCAGAATGAGAACAAAGTCTCACCCAATCAATGTTTAAACTGGAAGCTTTTAGGCTTTGTTCCCTCCATCCAAAAAATTCCCTTCAAACCCCCAAGGGAAGCTGGTGGAGGGCAGGGGGGCGTGGATCTCATGACTTCCCCTGCCCAGCTCTATCCAGGACAGCTGGACATGGATGGGTCTGGCTGGGACCAGCCCCCCCTTGGGACCAGGAGGAAAATAAACGTCAGAGGGGTAAGAGGAATACAAAGCCACTGAGCACAGCCAGGCCCCTTCTTCCCCGCTCACCCCAGGGCAGGGAACTCGTATATAATGCTTTGCAAAGTGGCAAACCCACATGTTTGTCCCCAAGATCCAGCCTGCCCTAACCTTTCCTTGAGGGGAAGAACCATCTAGCGAGGGATCTGCAAGCCACACGTGGCGAGCTTTAGACATGTGGCTAGTCTGAGCTGAGACGCACTGTAAGCATAAAATACACAGCGAATTTTCAAGACGAAATAAAAGACTGAAAGAGCTCAATCACTTGTGTATTAAAATGAAAATATTTGGGGCTTAAATTAAAATTTCACTGTATTAATTTCACCTGTTTCTCTTTACTTTTTTCACATGATTATTAGACGATTTTACATTTTAAATTACATATGTGGCTCGTATTATATTTCTACTGGACCGTGCTGCTCTAGAGTTATGACCAGGCCCCCAATCATCTCCACCGAGCAAAGCAAAGAGAAGCATGGGCAGGTCCAGCAAAATTATTTTGTGAGCTGATAATGGAAAGATAACTTTGATTTTGTTTTTCTTGTCTATTTCATACACACCAAAAGGAGAGACAGCAGGAGGCATTACAAGGGGTTCAATCCAGCCGACAATTACCTCCAACTACCCCCCCCCACCCCCCGCTGCCGCCCATCGTGTAGTGTGTGGTGCCAGATTCACTTGTTAGAAGCAGAGCCCTGGCCATGTCCCCATTATACTCTGGAACCCTCCATGAGTACCTCAGATGAGTCCGAATGCCTCACCAAGGCATTCAAGGCCCTGAGCCACCTGAGCCAAACTTGCCTTTCCAGCTACATCTCACAAGCTCCCTGCGTAGCCCCACATCTGGCAGTTCACAGTTCATTCATTCAACACATGTTTACTGCATACTTCCCATGTGCCAGGCACAGTGCTGGCTGCTGAGGTCACGAGGGTTAGCAAAACAGGCACTAAACCTGCACCCACTGGGAACCACACATCTAGTGGGGGATGACAGGTGAATAAATAGGGCAATCACAGCACATGCAGTAAGAGCAGTTGTGGGGGAAGCATGGGGGCCATAGGTGCCCCAAAGAGGAACCTGAACCAGCCTAGAGGTTAAAGAGGGCTTCCTGGAGGAGGTGACATCTCAGTTGAAGATGTTGAGTTAGCCAGACCAAGGCTGGGGGTGGGGCGTGGTAAGTATCCCAGGGAGAGAGAACTCTTGAGTTCAAAAACCAAGCGGAAGGGCAGAGCAGTGCAGAGCATACATAACTGAAAGGCATTCCGGCTGGAGGGCAGGGGCCAGGGGCAAATGACTGGCCTGCGGTGGATAACAGGGGTTCTGTGAGCCTTGTAAAAGAATATGGCATTTATCCCGAAGTGTTTATTCTGCAAGTGTTTTAAGCTAGGGAGCTCCTGTTTCCCACCTGAAAAGCCTTTACCCCCTCCTCCCTGTGCACTCAAATCCTGCCTCCTCAGGGGGGCCAAAACGTGGGGCAAACCTCCCTTGGTCAGGCCCTTGAGGCTTTGAAGGAGAATGGGCAAGGGGCTTGTGGGGCTCCGGCCCAGGGGAAAGCGCCAAGGGATGGAGGTACTGGGGCGGGGCTTGGGGGCCAGCTGGTGTTGGAGTGTGGGGCTGAGGCAGGATTTGAGCTTGGAGTCGGGATTTGGGGGCTGGATTCAGGAACACGGGTCAAGGTTGGGGCCAAGGATGAGGCTGCCATCTAAGATCTAATTCCAGCATTTGGAGCTGAGGTTTCAAGCCAGATTTGGGGTTGGGATCTCGGGCTGGGACTGGAATTGGATTTAGAAATGGGGCTGGGGGGTCAGGGTTGGGATTTGAGATTCAGGGTTGGGGCTGAGATGTGGGGTAGGGGCCTCGGTTGGAGCTAGGAGTTCTAGTTAGGGTTTGAAACTGCAGCTGGGGCTGGGGTTGGGTTTAAGGCTGGAACTAAAGCTAAATTGGGTTGGAGCTGGGGGATGGGCTCGGGTCCGGGCTCTGGGGCAGATGGACAACATTCCTACTGCTGCCCGGGTCTGGAAATTGTCTTCGTGCCCTAACAGCAAGGGACAGAAGCCCCTCCCTTCCCAGGAATGCCTCAGCCCAGCAGAAGGAGCAGCGCCACGTCAGCCAATCGTCTCAGGCCCTGCCTTGGAAACACCTGTTGATCCTCCCCCCCTACCCCCCACCCCCGCCTGAGCTCACCCAGGTGCAGGTCAGGCAGGTGAAGCGCCTCCCCGGAAACAGAGCTGGAGCGCCCCACCTGCCCGCCCTGCCTGCTCAGATTGGATCCAGCACCTCCAGGCTTCTTGTGAGTGCCCCGTGGTCCCCCCTACCCCCACCATTCACCGTCTCCCTCTGGCTTTTCCCCTGAGAGCCTCCACCCCACCCCCAGCCTGGCTCCATGGTCCCGGCACACCCGTGCAAGCACTTTCAGATCCGTGAAGTCACAGCCCTGGGGAATGCTGGGACTGATTCCAGGGCCCCTCCCTCGGCCCCTCCCCCATCTCCCTTGGGGGCACCTGCAGCTGCCCATCCTACCTCGTGTGCGGGGCAACCCCTGCTGAGGGATCGTGGAGGACGGATACCTCATCAGAGGTGTAACCCACGTACAGCCATGAAGTCATAGTCCCGAATGATCCAGGACCTACGTCCTATATATAAAGCAGGAGTCCCGTCCTAAACGGGAGGAGAGAATGTTGTGTTCTTTTATTCAGAAAGCATGCTCTGGGCATCTATTCCCATTGGAATTCTGACCTGGAGATGTTAATGCCCCCACCTCTCAAGATAAAAGTTATCATCCTCACTTTTCAGATAAGGGTCCTGAGCTCCAAGAGGTGAACTTACTGGGGGCTTCTCTGACCTCCCCCAAGCCCCTCTTCTGACTAACCCACAGCCAGCACTCATCACAGGAACACACCTGCTATAAACTGGGGCTCCCTGAGGGCAGGGGCCGGGCTGCTATACTTTGCCCAGTGGGAGTCATGCTGACTGGCCTCTGGAGGATGTGTTCAATGAGGAACCACTGCGAGGTCCCTCGTCCACATACCCACGGTGGCAGGGACTGCAGCTGGGGGTCCAGTCCAAAGCCCTCCTTCCCTTTGTACCACTTTAGAGAAATCGTGGAGGAGGATGGCATGGGAGTGCGGTGAGAGGGAGAAGAGTGGGGGAAGCAGGAAGACCGGTGAGGAAGTTGGGGGGAGGGAGGTTGAAATGCAGAAGCAGCAGGACGAGGGCAGGGAGTGGGACGGAGACATGTTTAGAGGTGACACGCACAAGGGAGGGACACAAGAGGAGGAGTGGGTTTGCAGTAAGATGACGAGCTTGGGTTGGAAGCCGTTGCATCAGAGGTGCCTGTGGGACATCAAGGTGACAATGGCCTATGGGTCTTGGAGCTTGGGAGGGAGATCTGGGTTTGAGAGGAGAGGGATTTGGGAACCAGCAGCCATGCCTGTGAGGTGGGATGGGGTGTTGGGGGTCAGATCCTGACTCGCGGAGAAGGAGTCGCAGCCCAAAGAGAGAAGATTCAGGGTCAGGCAGCTGGTTGCAGAAGGGTTAAGTCATAAGCCCCCTCCCTGCCCACAACCCTCCCCGCAGGAGCCAGCGGTGACAGCTGAGGCCATGTGAGTCGGATCCTGAATGAGGCTTTATCTCTGGGTCTCCATCCAGTCCCATCGTCCACCGTGGCACCAGCTCCCTCGGCCAGCCGGGATGGGACAGGCAACTGAGACAGCCCGAGCCAGAGAGGTCAGGGGCTGGGCAGGGGGTTCCCTGGGTGGGTGAGGATGCTTTGGGTGGAGGGAGCTCTCCTGAGATCTCTGGAGAGGCATTCCCGAGGGGGCAGTGCTAGGGAGGAGGTTTCCCTGGGGGGGTGTTGGTTGCAGGGGACATGGGAAGATTCCCAGGGACCACCCCCAAGGCTCCCAGGAGAGACCATAAGGGGCAGGTGGGCCAGGGAGATGGCAAGTGTGATTCTCCCCCCTGCAGGTGATGGTGACCATCCCCTGGACCGTGCGAGGAACAGGACTCTGGGCCTCTGGCCGCCGCGCAGGTAGTGGGGGCTCCAGGCCATGATCCGTACCTCTGCCCCCTGACGCGGTCCTCTGCCCTTACTCGTGCCGGATCAGCCATGCCTGAGGGAGAGGCTCGGGCCCCGCCGGGCCGGGGGCTGCCGCCGGATGTGCTGGCGGAGCAGGTGGAGCTGTGGTGGTCCCAGCAGCCGCGGCGCTCAGCGCTCTGCTTCGCCGTGGCTGTGGGCCTCGTGGCGGGCTGTGGGGCGGGTGGCGTGGCCCTGCTGTCCTCCACCAGCAGCCGCTCGGGCGAGTGGCGTCTGGCGGTGGGCACAGTGCTCTGCCTGCTGGCCCTGCTGGTCCTGGTTAAGCAGCTGATGAGCTCGGCCGTGCAGGACATGAACTGCATCCGCCAGCCCCGCCACGTGGCTCTGCTCCGCAGCGGCGGCGGGGCCGACGCCCTGGTGGTGCTGCTCAGCGGCCTGGCGCTGCTGGTCACCGGCTTGACGCTGGCAGGGCTGGCTGCCGCCCCTGCCCCCGCCCGGCCGCTGGCCGCCATGCTGTTCGTGGGCGTCACCCTGGCTGCCTCAGGTGCGCTCTTGCTGCTGGGCCTGCTGCTGTATCAGGTGGCCGTGAGCGGACACTGTCCCCCTACCCGTGCGGCCGCCCCCTCCGCCCGCAGTGACCACAGTGGGAATGGCGGCGTCTTCAGCATCTCAGGACGGTTGTCCGCTGGCCAGCATCGTGAGACCACATCCAGCATCGCCAGCCTCATCTGACGGAGCCCGGGCCCTCCTTCCCGTGACCTGCCTCAGCCTCCACAGAGCCGTGCCCGGGCGCGAGTGAGGGTGTGTGCACACACGTGTGTGCACACGCACCAAGGGGAGAGTGACTGCATGGGTGTCCCCAGGACTGCTCAGCCCTCTGAGTGACTGTGTGACTGTGATGAGGGGCCGATTTGCACCCACACACCCACGTCACAAGGAGGGAACTGCTTCTCCTTGGAGCTCGTGGAACCGTCAGTCTGCCTGTCTGTGTCCGGGGCCTCTAGGCAGAGAAGGGTCTGGGATCCCTGAAGATCCCTGGCCCCTATCCCTAACACCCCTCAAAGGCAACTCTGCCCTGTAACACCTGTCAGGGATTTCCCCAGGAGAGGCGGCTGCCTGCCCCAGAGACTGCGCCAGTGAGCCCTTTTACCAAGGAGACTGAATGGTGATGGAGTGGACAGAACACAGGCTCCGGCATGACAGGCCTGGGCCGCAGTCCCCCCCTCTACCACTCACCAGGTGGGGGCCTTGGGCAAGTGGCTTAACCTCTCTGAGCCCTGGTTTCTTGAGCGTCATGGTCACGGTCGTCAACTGTTAGGATCAAATGATATTATTTACGTATAGAAGGACCGGGCACACGGCAGATGTGCAATAAAAGTGGTGACTGCTGTTAGTGGTGTTGTCTTTATCTCACCATCTCGCCAAGAAACCTCCCCTCCCCTCCCCCTCCCTTCCCCAACCCCGGCCACCCCCCCAAAGGGAACACATCACGCCTACCTCAGGCTGACCTAGGGTGCCTTGAAGGTATCCTCAGCCAGACCTGTGGTCTCTCCTCATAGGTACCAGGAAGCCTGAGGGGAGACGGGATGAGGGGATGCCTAGCCTCAGGAAGGTAGTGCGTCTCTGGTCCCAGGGAGAGGGTGTTGTGGGCAGGGAGGATGGTGAGTCCTCATTTGCTTATGTGCTGGTTCCAGATGAAGCCTGAAGTATTGGGGTTTTATCGCCTGGTTTCTCTGGAGGCTGCAGCTCCTAACCCCACCTCTGAAACCAGAACATCCTGTTCTGTGTAGTTGCAGCACCGGCTGACCTGCCTCTGGGTTTCCAGGCACGGGAGGGGTGTTGGACGCCCGCTTCGGCATGAGAGTACCTGCCTGCTTGGGGTCAGCCCTGGAAGGGCTCTCCCTTTCTGGATGCAGGGGCGCTTCCTGTGTGACAAGGACAGAGGTCCACTGGAGGAACGCCCAAGAGCGCCAGTTACTGTTTCATCACTGGCTGCTTCACAAAATGAAGATTATAGGAAGCCCCACGGGGGACACCAAGAGAGGCCGGGAAGCCAGACAAACGTGTTGCCTAACAGGTGTTAAATGTGGAGCTACAGAGGCTCTGACGGGAGAAAATTGCTTTCGGCTTGCCAAGATCAAGGCAGTTTCCTGGAGAAAACACTAAGCCAATGGATGAGGGAAAGGGTGTTGCCAGGCCTGGGAGGGAGAATTCCCAGGCTGGGAATTCCGTGCACCTCAGACTCCACATATTCAAATGTGAGCCCCTCTCCTCTCTACCCTGAACTAGGTCCCCATCTCACCCTCCACCCAGCATCCAGGTTAGAGACCTCAGGTGCCGAGGTTCCGCCTTGCTTTTGCAGCCTAGTGTGCAGACTCCCCAACACGACAGGCCTCCCTCTTTCCTCAACACACCCACAAGCCAGCCACGCTGCACCATTGTCGTGACTCCACCACGGGGGGTCCTGGCACGGGCCTGGGCACATAGTAAGGTGTGGATGGGCGGATGAAGGACTCGGCTTGGTGAGACCCACCTATAACTGGGAAGGGTAGGGAAGTTAGCCCATTGTCCGCTGTTGGCCCTGAATCTTTCCCTCCTGAGGCCCCGCACTGTCTTCTCTAGAAACTCTCATTCTGCCCGGGCTCCCAAGAGGGAGCTCTCACTATCACCCAATTCCTGGGCCATTAGAGGACCACAGAATGCCTCTTCCTCCTGTTAAACAGGGATAAATCCTGTTTCTTTTCAGCGAAGACAGGGTTAGACTCTTTCACGATATTTCTTTTAAGAAACTAAAGGAAAACAGAAACACAGAAAATTGTGTTGGGGGGGAAGAGTTACACAGGAAAATGTCTAGATGAGCAGCTACTGTAGGCCAGGCCCGTGTCAGGCTCTCCCGGGAAGGATGCCAGATGAAGAGCATGGTTAGTGCCCACAGAGGACACTGTGGACCTATTCCAAAGGGCAGTGGAAGTCGGCATGTACACACCCAACTACAACATGAGAAGGATGGTAGGAGCTGGGTGGAGGCCCAGGTGGGGCGGAAATGCTAATACTTCCTGATTCACTAAAGCTGACCCCCACAACCTCCCACCTCCAGCTTGCGTGCTCAAAGCTGTGCATTAAACCCCATCTTGGTCCCCATGGCAACCAGTCATCCGCTGGCCCCTCTGCTCTCTCTCTGTCCCTCTAAGGCAGCCCCTTCTGTTTTCATCTCCCATCTGGCTCAGATCCTGTGCCCATCATGTCACCCACTCCTTGACAGAGTCCTCAACAACTTAGCCCCCTGACCTTTGGTCCCACCCTCCCAGCAAAATCCCCTCCGTGGATAAACCCTCACACCGACCAGCTACGAGAGAGATCTGCACAGCCGGGCAGCCTGGTGTCACCGTGATTCCCCATCACCAACCTCAACCAGGTCTGAAACTCAGCTTACCAGTTACACTGTTTCCCTGGCCAGCTGCTGCTCCCACAGCGCCCTCAAGTTCTCTCCATTCCCTTCACACCACAACATCACCCCCTCACAGCCCCCAACACTGCTCTCTGCAGACGACTTGGCCTCCCTCGCTCGCCATGAGAAAATAAGAGTCGTGGGGTGGGAAGCCTCCACCTTGCTCCTGCGAAATCACGCCTCCTTTACTCCTGTCTGTCAAACGGTCTTGTCAGCCCAGCTGAGGAATTTGGACTTTGTCCTCGGGACACTGAGAAACATGGAAAGATTTTAATTAGGGGGGTACTCTGAGCAGAATAGGATTGGGGACTTGCTGGCTGCAGTGTGAAGCTGGTCTTAGCAGGAAAAAAAAAAAAAAAATGACCAAACAGCCCCAGAAATGCCATCTCAGCTGGCGCCTGAGGGATGAGAAGCAGCTGGTCAAGATGGTTGGGAAGAGAATCCCAGAGAGAAGGAATCGCAGAAGGGCCCAGAGACAAAAGAACTGGTTCCTTCGAGGAACCACAGAAGGTTTGGGTGGTGGGAACATGGAGTATCAGCTGGTAAGAGGCAAGGGTGAAGCTGGGGGGGTCCCTGGGCTCCTCCCGGGTTTCAGAGGCTCCCTAGCAGGTAGTACAGTTTCTTAAGGCCAAGAGGAATCCGGTGAAGGATTGTAAGGAGAGGGATGGCCTGGCCGGAATTGTATTTTAAGACAATTAGAATTAATTGGAAGGGGTAAAAATGGAGGCAGGGAAATCAGTTAGTGGATTGATGCCACCTCCAGATGCGAGATGACGTGGCTCGGACAAGGGTAGGGGTGGCTGCTGGGACAGAGCCAGACAGGACGGGTTCAACGGATGCTCAGAAGGTGGGACCGACAGGCCTTTGCGACTAACTACCTGCAGGAGTTTTAGGATGGGACAGATGTGATGGGTCCATGATGACTGAAAGAGAAGTTGAAGACACAAGGCAGAGAAGAGGCCAGTCTTCAAGTCCCTGAGCGGGGAGGCGGGGAGGGTGGATCGAGCCCACAGTGGAGGGTTGGGCTCACAATGCTATTTTGATAGGAGAGAAGGAAGAATGTGGACAGGAAGGTTTGTGGGTTTTGTAGCAGGAAACTGACAACTACTCTCTCTGTGAGGCAGAGGCCATTTTAAGGAGCTGCTGCGGAGAATGACCAAGAAAACAGCGAGGTTGCTGAAGGCTTTGAGAGCCCACGGGAGGCTGGAGAACAGGCAGGAACGGAAGCACAAGCACGGCCTGGGCAAGGGGGGCGGCGAGGGGGGCGTTCCTCCACAGCGCGCAGAGGGCAGGATGCAGGCCTCAGGTTGGAGTGTCACCTGGAGTGTGTGATGGTGACATGACAGGGCAGGTAAGCTGAGGATACTAGCAAGAGGGAGGCTGACATAAAGGGCCCTGTAATCTAAACTGATGTTGGGGGAAAAGACAAGAGGAGCTGTTGGAGACGGCACAGAGAGAGAATCTCCTAGAAGCTCCCACTGGGCGGCAGGCGAGGTGGAGGGAGAGACACCTGCCACGTGTTCCTCCTGGGCCACCTGGATGCTGGATCCTGGAAGAACATGTTCCTGAAATTTCCAAATGTGTTCCAGTCCAGGCGGTCCTTCCATCATATCCAGTCACACCCCACCTGAGACCTCAGGCCCCCCTCGAGGAGCTTCCTCCGGGCCTCGGGGGACCAACACAAGCTCAGTTCTTGCACACTGACTGGGTTGCCTTCCGGACTGCTCCCCGGGACATGTGAGACTGCCCTTGGGCATGGCAGAGACCGGCCCACTCTGGTCCCCTCCCCAGCCAGGGATGGGACATACCACTTCTACCCTCACAGCCTGCTCTCCCAAACCTGGAACTTCCTGGCCCCCATTCACACGGGGCAGAGGGGCTCCAGCCCAGACAGGGTGGGAACAAGTCCAGCTACCAGGAGATTCCTTCGCTGGGTCTGTTTGATCATGACCTAGAGGTGAGATGAGGGCGTTATTGCTGAGTGATGCAGGCAAGTTGCAGTTAACATGTTTGAGCCTCAACTTCTCGGTCTATAGAATGGGATGCCTGCCCAGCAGGGAGGTTGTCAGGAAGTGCTAACGCATCAGTATTATTATTGTTACTGTTGTCGTGATTTTTATATTCTATGGCATCAGAACTTCCAATTCAAGTCCTTTGCTGTTCTGAACTGGATCTTCTGACCTGAGTCCTGGGAAACAGAGAAGTTCAAATCCCAGCCTGGAGAGAATGAGGAGGAGGAGGCACGGCAAGCTCCTCCTTCAGGATTAAGACTGGTCACCTGTTCCAGGAAGCAATTGCGCCGGCGGTGCCCATACAGACACGGCTGATACCTGCAGATGCTTGCTCGGCTCTACTTTACACGGCACTCATTCAATCCTTCTAAACGGTGTGAGGCAAGGACTATTATCATCCTCATTTTACTGAGAAGAAATTGGAGCGCTGAGGAGGTAAGTAACTTGCCCAAGGTCACACAGCAGGTAGATGGCAGAACTGGGATTTGAATCCAGATAGTCTGTGCTCTGAACTCAGTTTACTGCTCTGCTGGGCTTCTTCAACTTCATGTCCGTGGCTTGTGTGACCCATCTTTGGCCTCCACACAAGGACCATGGATGCGGCCTTACTCTGGGGGCAGCAGGATGAGGCAGCCAGGAAGCTAGGCTGTCCTCTGCGGTCAGGTCTGGGTTGGGGCTCCCTGGGAAGAGAAGGTGATGCCAGCTGCTGAGGGGTAAGGACAGGGTGCAGGGCCGGGGGCAAAGATGGGCTGGGATCAGGGTCTGAAGCCAGAGGAGGGCAGACCAGAGGGAGGCCGCCCAGCAGTTCCAGCATCCCCGGGCCTTTGAACCTGTGGACCCAGGTGGTGCTCCCTCTTCATGCCTGGGGCCAGGCATGCGGAGCTCAGCGGGAACCATTCCTCAGGGGAATCCAGCAGGGCCGCTCTCGGGGTCCAAGTTTCCTGCCACCCACAGCTGGTTCTGAGAGGAAGCCTTCCCTGCCAACCCTTCTTGGTGCTGGGCTCAGAAAAGTGACTTCTAATCTGGGGTTGGGCCCTTACCTCCTCCTGGATCCCTCAGAGGTTCTGACTCAAGTCCCCTAGAAGATGTGAAAATGGGGACGGCCGAGCTCTTTCCTAGCCCCGAACTTCAGGCAGGGCAGCCCCTCCAGGTGGACCTTGGGAACGCATGAGGGCAGGGGACAGACCCACCTGGGTTCCCAGCAGCTCCTCCCCCAGAGGCCAGGACACGCTCTGCTACTCAGCCTCCTCTGCGGGGTCTCGGGCTGGGGCCCACACAGGGCCTTCCCGGGCCTGCGAGGGCGTCAGCTGTCTCGGGACTGAGGAACAATGGCTGGGGTGGGGGTCCCCTCCTCCCTGACGGCTTCTCGCCAAGCTCTCCTGCCACATGCTCCTCTGCAGACGGACCCTCCTCTGCCAGTGTTTCCCTGCTCAGTCTTCAGCGCCTCCGCTACCCTGACCCCTCCCTGGTGATCTGATTCACTCCCGGGGACTCAGGGAACCTACTGTCAATGATTCCCAAGCCCACATCTACAGACCAGCCTTCGCCCTGTGAATCCAGCTGCCCCAGGCATCTCTCCCCTGGAAATCCCGTGTCCGGCATTGAACCCTCACTCCCCCAAAACCTGCTCTTCCTCAAGTGCCCAGCCAGCCAGTCAGAAACCAGGGTGACTTCGTTGATTCCCTACTCCCCACGTCCAGCAGCCGAAAGTTCTGCCAACCACCCCTGCCATCCGCCCCCATCCCTTCCAGATGTGACCCTGCCTCTGTCACACCTCTGCAATCTCTCTGTTCCCTGTACCACACCTTAGTCATGTCTGGGTCTCTCCCCTGCAATCCATCCCCACGCACGGCATCCCCCTCTTCAGCTTCATCCCTGGCGCGGGCACCCTGGACCCTACACTGCAACCCTCCTGGACCCCCTGCCTTTTCCTCAAGGCACCCCCCTATATTAGTCAGCCATCACTTTCTTTCTCCACTGGCTCTTTCCTCAAAGGCTAACACTGCATCCGGTGGACACATGTGAGTGGCTGCCTGGTTCCCGACGACTTCCCCTTTTCTGGCTGGGACTGACCTGGAACAAACAGGTGGGCTCCCCAAATCACAAGTGGACTACAGGAGCCTGCCCCCACCGGTCAGAACTGGTTGCACCAGTAGAAGATACATTTTTTTTTTTTTTTGGCTTTGTTGGGTCTTTGTTGCTGTGCGTGGGTTTGTCTCTGGTTGCGGTGCATGGGCTTCTCATTGCGGTGGCCTCTCTTGTGGAGCACGGGCTCCAGGCATGCGGGCTTCAGCAGCCGTGGCACGCAGGCTCAGTAGTTGTGGCGCATGGGCTTAGTTGCCCCGCGGCATGTGGGATCTTCCCGGACCAAGGCTCGAACCCGTGTCCCCTGCATTGGCAGGTGGATTCTCAACCACTGCGCCACCAGGGAAGCCCCACAGTAGTAGATACTTGACTCAAGCTGGACCAATCAGATTCTAGCACCTGAATACTTGAGACCCAGAATCAAGAGTTTGGAAGTCCCAGGCATGGAGCCTCATAAGTGCCGATAAATGACAAAGCACTAGAGGTCCCATGCCTGACCTCAGGCGGCTGGGACCACCTGCTTCCTGCCCTCCTGAGTCAGCTGTCCCTTTAATTCACCCCCAAAACTCCTTTCCATTGCTTGCAACCAAAGAAGCTTAACTCAAGTCTCTGCCGTCTTGAAACCGCCTCCCTTGCCCAAAACTCCCCCCCAGCAACCATGACTCTGTCCTTCTCTCTGCCAAGGTTCTTGATAAAGTCTTCCACAGTAGACTCCACGCCCTCACCTTTCATCCACTCGCCTGTCAGCCCACGGAAATTCTACAAAGTCAACAAATATTTATTTAGCCTCTTCCGTGTGAGAGACTCTGAAGACACAGAACAAGGCGCAGACTGTGGCCTCAGAGAATTCACAGTCTAGCCCGGTAAGGGGTTAGTGCAAATTGTAATAAAGATTAAATTTAAACGTGGTAAGAGACTGGTAGGGAAACTCACAGATGTTATGGAAGGGAGGGGCTCCGGGAAGGTGTCCCAGGGAGGGGATGTCCGAGCACTGTCATGGCTTTGAGTGACAAGGGACATGTTTGTGCACAAGTTTCAGTTCAGGAAAATAAAAAATGAGTGACTTCTTCCTATTTTTATTTAAAATGAAAATAGATTTATTAGTATCTGTGAAAAACATAATATATTATAACTATTTAGATTACCACTTGATTGATAGGAAAAAAATCTCCCTGAGAAACTTGGCACAATGATTTTCACCTGCTAAGACGTTATCACCTGGGCACATGTGAAATGCTGGCAGGTAGGCAGCCCACATGGGGTCTACTGGCCAGGGATTCTCATCACTGTCATAAAGGACTTGGGAGAAGAGAAGGGCAGGGAGACAAGGGAAGAGTGTGAGCAAAGGTCCATGGAGAAGCAGCATGGTAGGTGGGGGAGGAATAACAAATAATTGGTTAAGCAGGGAGTAAAGTCGGCAAAGGCAGGAAAGGAAGCCAAAGGCTGACGGAGGCCTGATATCACAGCCAGGGCCTTGGTAGGCTTTATCCCAAGAACAGGAGGGAGCCATTGAGGGTTACTGAGCAAGAGGGGGTGTTTCACTTTGGTGGCTAGTGTCAAGGAAGGGGGGATTGATCTACCCCTACTCTGCCCTTAAGCCCTAGCCACCAAGTCCCTGAGGCTTGTGGTTCCCACAAAGTATCTGCTGTCCTTAAGCTGTTGGGCATAGGGGTGGGGGGTCCGAAGATGAGGGCTCAGAGGGAGAAGTGGTCCCTACTTCCCTCCGTCCCCAGCCCACCAACCCCAGGGTGAATGTAATTGTCCTCGATGAAACCATCATCATCCTCATCTTCACCCACCTCGGGGCGGACCCCTTTCACTGTCCCAGACAGCGGGCGGTGCTGGTAGCTGGCACGGTATTTGCGGCAGAGGTGGCATTTAGCAGCAAGTGCGATGAGGAGAGAAAGGACCACAGCCCCCAGCACGACCCCTACCAGCACAGGCCATGCCCGGGCCCCGCTGCCCAGTCCAGGGGATACGGCCGATGCTGTGGGGAGCTCCGAGGGCTCCACAGTGGCTGCAGAGAAAGGGAAAGTGTTAGGGATGGGGCCCCCGATTGGCTCCCTGGGGAAACTGAGAGGAGTGGGGCAAGTTCCTCCCCGCAACCTCAGCATCTGAGGGGTACCCAATCCCCTCCTCAGCCTCCCTCCCACTGTCACTCACTTCGGTTTGCCTCACTCATTGAGGGGCCGGAAGACACTGGGGAGCCTCAGCCTCTGCCAGAAGAGCCCTGGCTCCAAGGAGACTCCCAGACGCCAGGCAGCCCCAGGGCACAGAGTCCTGGAACATACACACACGTTTGGATGTCAGGGATGGCCACAGGGCGCATGTTCCAGGCCACACTCACAGCTGTGTGAGGGCGCTGCACAGACTCCGGAGACTGGACAATTGACCATAACCAGTTGCCCGCAGGAGAAAAACAAGCCGAGCCACAGGAATTGGCTGTGTGTAAGGGAACACCCGGAAGCGGCTGGAAAAATAACTCAATGCTGGAATTTACTGAGCACAACTTATGATTCAGTCACCAGGCAACGTGCTTATAGAACCTTGTAATGAGGGCATAAACGTTGTCCCCACTCTCCAGCTGAGGACTCTGAGGCGCAGAAAGGTGAATTCACTCAGCCAGAGTCCCAGGACTTGAACCCAGGTCTCTGATGCCAGGGCCCAGACCCAGGCTGCTCCCCTGCTTGGTAAGCTGAGGACAGCAGGTGGGGCAGAGGCAGTCCTGGCCTCCAGAGGTTGGGCAACAGCAACTGCTGGGAGCTAATGGGCAAAGTGGAGACCACGCATGGAGGACGGTGCTGGGCTCCACCCAGGACAGGAAGCTCCAGACACAGCCTGGCCCCTCTGCTCCTGAGTCAGAAGCCCTGCGTCCACACCCACCACCGCTACCCTCAGCCCTTCAGGCACATTCCTTGTCCTTTCACCTCTGCCCCAGGGGGTGGTGAGCTGTATTCTAGGAGTAGCCAAATGTGAATCAACTGGGTCAGGAGAATATCTGGCTGAGAATCACTAGGGGCTGGGAAGGATCTAGAGGAGGAAGAGCATCTGGGCCAGAGGAGTGTCTGGGGGAGCAGCACCTGATTGGGGAGCACCTACAGGAAGAGCATCTGGGTTACAGAAGTACCTGGAGGAGGAACAGCTGGGGCTGGAGGTATCTGAATCAGAGGAGGACCTGGGAGGAGTGTCCAGGCTAGGAAAGCACCTAAGAGAGAAGCACCTAGTTTAGGGGAGTACCCGGCCATACTCTTTAATATCAATACTGTAATGATGCCCTCCCTCCTCAACTCCACATTGCCACCAAGTCCCATGAGTTCTTGCTCTCAATATCCCTAGAATGCCTATGCCCCTCCTCTGCACCCCACCGCCACTGCCCCAGTCCAAGCCACCTTCATCTTGTACCTCAATTCTTGCAATAACCTCCAAACTGGTCTCTCCTCACCTCTCATCCATTCCTCAGAGTGATGGGCCTATGGCTCAAATCTGACCCCATTACTCCCCTGCTTAAAAATCCTGCACAAGCTCCCCAGGCCCGCAAGGCTGAGTGCAGGTTCCTCAGCACATCCTTCAAGTCCTCGCAATCCAGCACACAGCCTCCCATTCCCTCCCCGTGCTACACACACACACCTACATGCGCACACACACACGCACACACCTACATGCACACACACACCTACACGCAGGCATGCACACACACCTACATGCAGGCACGCACACACACCTACACGCGCGCACACACATACACCTACACACACACACACACACACCCTGCCTTGCCCTCTTGTTTCCCAGCCACCCCCTCCTGTTTTTTGAGTCCCCCATCCCTCAAGGTCAAATCAGACCATACCTGACTGTGAGGTTGTCCCAGGGCCCCTCTCATCACCCCCTTCACTGCCCTGCCCAGTCAGCCACCAGTCAGAACTGGCCAGTTACTAGATGGGCAGCTCCCTGGTCAGGGACTGGGCTGAATAACGTGCATCCTGGCGCTGGCAGAGAGCTTAGTAGTCAGCTGCTCTGTACATGTTTGTGAGATGAGTGGACATGGGGGTAGGGTGGGGGGTCATTAGAAAGGAGCAGTAAATCATTCACTCATCCATTCATCAGCAAACATTCATCGGGTGCCTACCACGACCCCAGCACTAGGCACTGGGTCCTCAAAAAAAAAAAAAAAAAAAGAAGGATTTTGTTAAATTGATATGAGTTGAATTCAACCTGACGTTTTTAAGATTTTACTCCTACTCCTTTCCTTCCTGCCCTGTCCCGGTGAATTCTTCCCAAGGACACACACACACACACACACACATACACACACACACACACACACCCTCAGGCTGTCACCCCACCCCTTCTGGTCACATTTCTTCCACCGACAAACACTCACCCCACCCTGATTTGTAGCCCCTTTCCTGCTCCCAGGAGCCCTCGGGGATCTGTGGGTTCCCCATCCCAGGCCCCCCCAGTGTCTTTTCCTCTGCTCCCCACCTGTAGGAACTGTGCACAGTCCGCGGAGGAGCTTCCAGTTAGAGCCGGCAGGACCCGGCCAGGTGGGCGGGCCAGAACTGCAGCTTGACTCACCTGTGGACGCAGCAGCCAGGCGGGGCCGAAGCCGCAGATGAGGGCGGAGAGCAGAGCCTCCAATAGGGAGGACTTATGCTACACCTTCCCAAGAATTGCGGAGAACCTTCTGGCGCAGGCCTCACCACCACCCCCAGTGCCGGGGGCGGGGGCGGTTGGGGGTTTAGTGCCGCTGGGATCCAGAGAGGGGGCAGTCTTCAGCAGGCAGCCGCTCAAGCTGGCGGCCCTGATAAACAAGTGAATTTCCGGTGACAGGTACGAAGTCCAGAGTTGAAGAGGGACCGCCTGTGTAGGCGGCCGGCCGGAACCAGACGGGAGGGGGGTAGGCATTCTCCAGGCAAAGCCAGAGGGACCAAGAAGACGCAAAACTGCCTGCAAGAGTATGTAAGCGAGTCTGTGTGTGTGTGTAGGTCAATGGGGAGTGTG